GGGGGGGGGGGGGGGTTGATGGTGGCAACACATCTAGTTCTGTTTCTTCAATGTCCTCTTACAAGCAGACAAAGAAAGAAACCTCCAATTTTACCAGGGTTCCCACACGCCTTTTACGACCTGCAGTGGGATACAGCAGGTCTACTCTTTCCCCAAACTTGCTGGTTTGGAAAGAGAGCGTAACGTTTGGAATTTCAAGGATGCTAGTACAGTGAATAATGGAACTTTATCAAAAAAGATTAAACCATTTTTTTATGTATACTTATGTTGATCTATTTCTGTTTTAGTTAATGTGGTTTCATATTATTCTAAATCAATTTGAAGAGTATTTTTACTTTATATCTATTATATCTTTCTAAAATTAAGGGGTTTATTCTTTATTTTTTTTCTTTGTATCAAATATATTTAGATTATGTTATTCTATATTTATCGACTAAGATGGTTATTCAGTTATATTGAAAAACATACAATACAACTGTACAATTGAAACCCGTGACATCAAACACTTTAACGTGAAATTGTACAGACAACGAAATGCATCGTAATCAACGAAATATTTAAAAAACTAAAATATCAATCAATAAATACAAACAATGCTTAAACCATAAAAAATCAACCAATTTATCGACCAATAAAGATCTGACGACACAAGGAATCTTAAAGGACCAACGACCAATTAATCGCTAACAGATAATGCAATGAACCATAAAAATAACAACCAAACAAATCAACTAAACACAGCAAACAACAACAAAAATACAAAAATACAAACAAACAGAAAACGAATAAGATAAATTTAAAAACAAATATAATACATATTTGTAACAAGGAACAAAACATTGAGGTAAATATTAAGGAATCACAAAAAACAGAGGATTAGAAAATGTGCCAGGTGTCTATAACTAGATCAACGCAAGTATCAAACCTAAATATGGGTTCATATGGGTAGCAATTGCCGGCTAGGTACTTATGAAGGTTTTAGTGCTTTTACAGACAAATATATGGGTTCGAATGTAAATGTCGGTGATTCATTGTTTACAAAAGGTAAATAAACTGAAGCGTTTAACGACTGAATGACACTATAAACAATGTGTGTAAGACTGATGATAGGGTGGGGACGAAGATACCTGTCAATATCATGTTCCACACTATAAACAATGTGTGTAAGACTGATGATAGGGTGGGGACGAAGATACCTGTCAAGATCATGTTCCACACTATAAACAATGTGTGTAAGACTGGTGAAAGCGGGGGGACGAAGATTTCGGCATGATTTATGATTGATTCAGGACAAGAACAATAATGACAATGATATTTATATTACAGATGACACAGAGCTGAAAAAAGACGATGTTCGAAAGAGGACAAATAGATTACCTAATGGCGACACCGATGGAGATATCAAACCGGAAACGGTCAAGCTCAAGAAGCACGTGGGACTGGTCGGCGGAACTTCCTTTATTGTCGGGACAATCATTGGTAACTTCAACTCATTTATTTTAACGTTAATTGAAGTATATTTGTGACGTCAATCATTACGTCACCTCATATACATTCAAACTCTATAAAATGATATTTGTCTACGGTATTCCTAGTGATACATATTACTGAAAAAGAGGACATTTTCGTATGGGGAAATGTTCGTGTTGTGTCACTTTTTACTGACCTCGATGTGAACAAATCTACATTTTTAGTTCATATAATATACAAATAAATATTCGCGTTTGGATATTTTCGCGTGCATTTCCACACCGCGAAAAATTCTACTTTTACAGTGCTAACGTATTTGTCAAAGGCATTCAGCATTCTTCACCTGTGAATGTTCTCGGTGAAGTAACAAAATTAGGATAGTAAGTCATATACATATTGTGCTAGCATCCTGTTCCCTTTGGTAGCAATGTAGTCTGCGATGTCTCCGATATTGCGTACATGGCAATGTATGTCTCGTGCTGGTAACGAAAAACAAAATACCTGTCAAGATCATGTTCCAAACCAGAATATCATTTCTTCCCTGTACATCATTACTAGTAGTAGTAGATGGATTTGTAAAAAATAATTAGTCCGTTGTGATCAGCCTTGCACACGAGTCTAGTTGTATAACTAGAACGAATGCGCAATATAACCACGACTTTAAGTCTTTCCTAATCTGTATACCCACTGAAAAGTCCTTCCCTGTTTTATTAATGAAATTCATACAAAGTCCATGATAGCGTGTGGGCTTTTTTAGGAATTGCATTTTTAGATTATTCCTAGAAATGTTACTAAATAGCATTATACTTATAGTCAAGATTATAAAAGAATTAGGGGCTTGAAATGTAAACTGAAAAACAATACACATGTCTGTATATCATAACCCCATACCACATTCAACGATTTCGATGATGGGTATGTAGTTGTCTCCGCAGACAAAGCATCTTATAACTTAATCTTTGTCTAAAAACACTATTATGTTGCCTGATTGCAGAAAGAATTAGTCTTGCTCAATAATCAGGGAAACCCAACATATACGATTCCTAATTTCTATCAAAAGATGAAATACTAGTTAATCTCGCCTTGGTATTGCCCCTATCAAAACTCTAGACTGTTCGACGCTTTACACTACCATTCCTCATACCAGACTGAGGGATTGCCTTCGTTCTCTTATTGTGTTCTCGTTTGGCCGAATTATTTTTGTTTTCATACGTAGTTCAATTTATTGATTAGCTGATCAGAACTTATAAATAAATCCCAGCTAAACCTTCAATTTCAAATTAACAAATGGCGACGTTATGTTGTCTTAGATAACAATAAATTTATTTACCACGTTACTCATATATATACCGTAAGGAACTGTAAATCAAGGTCACTGGAAACATCTTCTCTAACCGCTTTCCTTGATCTTGAACCAGCAAAAGCGGCTTACAACAAAGCTGTACATTGACATTGAGCGGAACGATTTTGACTTTTCGTTCTTGAACTGTACCTTTCTTGATAGTCACAGTCATATTTCCCTTTTGACGATGTTTGCATGTCGTACTTGATTCGGTTATCAGGAACATGTTCCGAATATTATGACTTTCTTGATAGATGTCGACCGGTGACTTTCTTGGTTTAAACTTTGTTTTATTCTAATTTTTGACAATATATTGAACTACAAATTGTACATTATACGAAATCGAAAACAAAACAAAAACAAGTGTAATAATTATGACACTTTTGTAAATTGGACATTTTTTTATAGAAGTTGACAGGTTACGGACAAATTTTACAACACAGGATTACTACAGATGCAGTTTGATCAGGACTGTGGTCATGGTTTCTGGTCGCTATGATGACCTCATAGGGAAATATTCTATTTCTCTGTGTGATATGTTTTCGTATCATTATGCTCATTAGTGTGTTTTGTGGTTTTGTTGTCACTCTCCACGCTCGATGTCAGGCCGTGTACTGTATAGTATTACTCAACATAGTTCTGCTTTGTGAAAGTCTAGATGTCCTTTTCAAAAGGTTTGTCTTTACACTTCTCCCAAGAGTTCTTTAAAGATTTGAAGAAATGTTTAATTTGTGTTGATATGTTGTTATACATGTTGACTTACACTCTCAGAAAAAAAAACCACCAGAAATTGTTTTTTCTCCGGGAATATGTTATGGCATCTGTATAACCGTATAATGATCATTGATGACAAAAAGATAATGGAGAAAGCAATTAATGCCTAAAGCCAACCATACTAGTTCTTCCCAGGGTCTGTCACTGACATTACAAGTGCTTTTAAATTGACAGGACAATGTAGTAGTAAAATTATTACACGATCAAGTATCTGTCAAGGAAAATACAAACACGTGACACACAGATTTACAACTGTTTAACCAACACCTCTGATCTACCGTTTGCTGGTTGGCCTTAGAGTCGATACAAATGATAGCAGTGTAAAAGGGTTTGTTTCATCCGTCTTCTTTTCCATCCTTCACACAAAGTTGTTTTACGTAATCACTGAATAAATATAAAAAGGGCTATCATTGTTTGCGATTGCATGAAAACAGACGAATCGAGGAATGAAACTTGAAGGTCAAAGTCGCTTTCATTTACTTACATCGTCATTAATTTTACTATGCATTATTTCAAAGGGGTTAAACCACAAGGGTCAAAGGTCAAAGTGTTGGTAATCACCGATCAAATACATTAGAGTAAAGAAATCAATTTCGGGGTTTTTCATTACATCATAACATTGAGCACCATGATTTTTTATTGCTTTGTCTACCTATAAAAAACACCAAAATGTAAATGTAAACGCAATCTCTTAGACAGAAGGTCATGATATACCGGTTGCTTATATTTAAAAATAAATATTTGGGGATTAAGTTATAGGTTGGTGGCAGTCATAGAAAGGCGGGAGCTTTAGATAAATGGCATTTATTTACGGGTGGTAGAACTAGACTAGTGGTAATAATAGACATATGGTAGCTAAACACAGATGGTAAATACAGGTGGTAGTTATAGAAATATGGTGGTTATAAACACACAGATGATAAATACAGACGCTATTTATAGAAATATGGTGGTTATAAAAAGGTGATAAATACAGGTACTAGCTATAGAACTTAGGTAGCTATACACGGATGGTAAATACAGGTGGTAGTTATAGAAATATGGTGGTTATAAAAAGGTGATAAATACAGGTACTAGCTATAGAACTTTGGTAGTTATACACAGATGGTAAATACAGATGGTAGTTATAGAACTTTGGTAGCTATACACAGATGTTAAATACAGGTGGTAGTTATCGAAATATGGTGGTTATAAAAAGGTGATAAATACAGGACTAGCTATAGAGCTTTGGTAGCTAAACACAGATGGTAAATACAGGCGCTAGTTATAGAAATATGGTAGTTTAAGGTATATGATTGTTATAAACAAGTGGTAATTAAAGACAGCTGGTAGCCATTGACAGGTGGTGTAAGCATGCTTATGAAAGTTACAGTTGAATAGTAGTTGAAACCGGGCGGTAGTTATAGCCGTTTGGTTGAGGTTATAGACAGGTGGTAGTTATATGTAAAGATGGTACATGTAGCTAGGGACAGGTGGTAGTTATATATATGTGGTACGTGGTACGTGTAACTATAGACACGTGGCCGTTATAATAGACAGTTGACAGTTAGGGCCAGGTGAAAAATTTAGACAGGTAATAGTATACAGTTATAGTATGGGGTTGATGGATATAGCAAGTTTTTGGTGTCCCGAGACCAGGTCTATTTCCCAAGGCGAAGCCGAGGGAAATAGGCATGGTCAAAGGACACCAGAAACTTGCTATATCCCTCACCCCCATACTTTAACCGTTTTATTATAGCGATACACACTGGAGAGATAGTTTAAACTTGAAAACATTTGTAAACCATAAGCTGTATAGCTTCACGTCCCAACTACCCTTTTGATGGCAATGGAGCCAAATGCTTCCGAGTTCGGTAGCAAGCTCCGCCCACCTCGCGCGTCGCTTCCGAGTTCGGTAGCAAGATCCGCCCACCTCTTGCCTGATTGGCTCGGCCGAAACACCCGAGTGTAGGTGTGTTTTAGTTCCCAGACTAACACACAGGACTAAACCCAGTCGGGCGGCAATAGTGGGGATATATTCGATTTAACCATCTACTTTTATATAGAGTAAATAAAGTAGAGGTATAATAATTGAGGATATGTGGTATTTATAGACAGGTGATAGGTAGTGACAGATTGGTGGTTAAGTCGGGTAGTGGTTATAGACAGGTGGCCGTTATTGACGGGTGACGGTAACTAGCAGACGGTTGCTATAGACACACAGTAGACTTTTGCATAACTTCTGGTCTCTAAAACGCACTTCCTCTAAATAAAAATATGGTTACATGGAATCATTTTACCATCGAATATTTCTAAAATTCCTTCCACAGCTAACTGATATTATGAAAAGGCTTCAGATGCTTTGGAGCGTCCTAAGAGAACTTTTCCCCGACAAGCACTATTATTTTCTTAATTCCCGACTCATTAGATAAACCTGCTACGGTTTGGTCAACATTTTTGGTTGGTAGCACACTGGGTGTTATTTCATTGGTCAATGACGTTAAGTAAGAATGCTTTGTGACGTCAACTATGACGTCGTAGTTCATGGCGATGGTTTCCCCGATCGGGAACAGGAAAAATTATTCCCAAGAGAAACATATGTTTCGCTAAGATATAATATCTGAATGATGTGGGAGAAAATGGTCCCCAAACTCCTAATTGTTGATTATCATGTTTGTCTTACTATCGTTATTAATTTTCTACTTGTAAAAGACACTCGGTAAACCTCGTGTCTTTATAGCTCGAGTTAGATAAACATGATAACTAACCACCACATTTGGAGAACCTCTACGTAAAGCAAGGTAAGAACAAATATACTAGCTCAATCAAAAGAATTTTATTTGTGAATACTTGAATTAAAGACTGTGGAGGTGGTATTACAATGTTGACAATAATGATCTATGGATGAAATACTGAGCAAGTCACCTCGCAAATGGAGTTAAGTGGAAGCAAAGCCATGTACAGTGTATTTGTCGTTACATCTGTGTCGGAGAAATACGTTGATTAAAGATTTAATGTGATTAACAATTCTTCCAGGGTCGGGGATTTTCATCTCCCCCAAAGGTGTTCTGTCGGAGACGGGATCGGTGGGCCTCAGTCTCATCGTCTGGGTCGGGGCGGGGTTATTGGCTCTGATGGGTAAGTATCTCGATATATATTTTGATTTTTCGTCGCGAATGGTGGTTTACATACTGTTTCTTTCAAAATTTTCCCTTTTTAACAATCAGCATATTATCAGCAAATGACATGTCCATAATGTCTAATTATAAACCTAAGAATTAACACGATAAAGGGACATACCTGTGATATTAACAAAGAGTGATTATAATATAAAAGTATCGCTTTTTATTGTGGTCAATAAGTGATTCATCCATCCGGGAAAGGTTGTATATATACATTTATATATAAATGTGATGACATTTTTATGATTTATTCATCCATGTGTCAGTAGATTATTGAATCAAACTCAATAAATGTTAATGACGCCTTTATGAAAACAAGGATAACAAGACATTCATGTTATAAATTAGAAATATCCTAAACAGATACCTTCTAAGTAGAAATGAGCCCAACTATCCTGATCTAAAACTGTTTTGTGGTTGAAGGATCCTTGTCCCATGGCACCTTGGCTTTGCCTATAAACATTTAGATTACTTGACTATATTTTGTTAACTTCATCTTAATGTCATTTGATATGCAATGTATGTTGTTTTCGTTTTAGGAATGATTTATCAAAGCAAGTAATACCGGAAAAGAAGTTTCCAATTCTTATTTACAGTTTTTGGGAGTGGTACGGGGATCCTTAACGTAATATCTCTCAAATGCTTTGTAAATTTGGCCTTGTTGAAGTACAAGGAAAAAGTAAATTTTGAGTCGGTAATCTAACACTTGTTACGTAACCTAGAACAAGCATTTAACGGGTTGTCGGTAGTTCAGGTTTTGCTTTATTACCAAATACCACGGCAACAAACTCACGGAGCTAATATTTACAATGGCCAAGATCAAGATCTATACATTAAGCTTGTCTGAAATCATTTAAAAAGTTTGGCAGCGTCAATAAATCAGAAACAACGTCTCGCAATCCGGAAACGTGAAGCAGTGAAGTGACTAAGCACTAACATGTGGGGGCTAAGAAAAGCCAGGCATACGTTTACAAAATTGATTTAGTCTTCATTCAAACATGTGTTATTGCTTTTAATATGCAGCATTGGATAGGGCACGTGTTTGGACAACATTACAAAAGCCAAGCAACAAATATATACAACTGTTTTGTGAAACGGTTGTACGAAACAAAATTCATATGCATGATTAGGTTTTAAACAATCTGAAGCCGGTCAACAAACCCTTTAATATATACGCCATTAAGTCCACGTTTTAATTTTTTTTGTTGGTCTATACTGTTAATGCAATTTTGTATATGGAAGGTTGAGTGAATGAATATAGACTACGAAAAGATCCGAATTACATTCAAATATTAAACATAGTACATACAATCTTATCTGAATAACATTCAAAAACAAATTGGAATTTGCTATTTTTTTGCTTTTTTGTTGTTTTTTAAATCTGTACTAAAGCTGTTTTGATATTAGTATTTACATAACTAATTAAAAAATGTATTAAAAAAGGGGGTTCGAAATGTGATTATTTGATTTCTCTTAAAATTTAAAAAGGGGAAAGGAAAGCATAAGGTTGATTCCCGGTAACACAGATGTGCTATGCATTCCAAGCCATGAAAACCTCCAGTAACATCAAATTCACAAGAATTTTCTTATACCTTATATGGATCAGTCGAAAAACTCTCACCTGTCGTTCTGATTAAGCATCAATGTGATTTTCAAAAAGAATGTATTGGCATTTACCTGTAAATAAGCATCAAACGTCGAGAAACAAGTACTGTATAACATGAAATGTTCGTTGTGTATAAACATTCGTAGTTTTCGTGGTTGCTATTGAACCACGAAAATAAATACAACCAATTTGGATGATATAAATGTCTACTGTTTGTTGATATAGGATATCCACGAAAGTTTGTACCACGAAACGATCTAAAATGCTTCAAACCACGAAGGAAAGTACCCACGAACACTTCGTGTTATACAGTACATGCTCGAACTACTATGCTTATTGTAGTTTAGCATGCCCTGACATCGCGTATATCCCATCCAAAAGGACTACCTTTGAAGACATATATAAAGATAAATGAAATTGCCCTTTTTAACTTCTCTCTGTACTTTATTAGACAATGATAACAAAGCTCAAACTCATTGCTATTGTCGCGGAAACACATTGAAATGCATGACTTTTATTTTAACTTGTATTGTCACTACAAAGGATCACTGTGTTACGCGGAGCTGGGAACCCTTATAAGGAAATCTGGAGGCGAGTATCAATACATAAAACAGTGTTTTGGAAATATCCCTGCGTTCATGTATGCTTGGACGTCGGTCATCGTCATCAGACCATCCTCTATGGCCATCATTTGCCTCACCTTCGGCGAGTACGTAGCCACATTCTTTCCCTACTGCGGCAACCCAGACCTTCCAATGAAACTGGTGGCAGCACTAGCCATAAGTAAGTGGACTTATTTCTGACAAATAGCTTGGTAAATCTCAATATAAACATGCTGTTATGGTCATCATTTCAAAAAATGATGTGGTCATCGAAAAATGTATCCTTTTTGGCTACCGAACGCCATCTTCAGGGTGAAAATATTAAATTATATATTTGTGATGGTCAAGTTTATCATTTATGTTCTTTTACTTTATATGCGAAACAAGAACATGATCTAAACCCAGGATGACACCTGGAATTCACGAAAGTCAGAATAATGCTTGCCTTTATGGAATAAATGTTCATAAATAAGCTGGTAGTGATATATATAGCTTAACATTTCTGTCGTTTTCGTTGTAGTGACTTTGGCCATTATTAACTGTGCTGACACTCGCCTAGCCACACACGTACAGGTGTTTTTCACGGTCGCCAAGCTAGTCGCTCTCCTCATCATCTCTATCGGAGGCATAGTCCGAATGGCGCAAGGTGAGTCTACTTTATTCACATGGTGCACTTGAAGGTCGTGTCGTGAATTTGGCACAAGTTGCGCCCAAGTCATTTACATAACGCACGGTAATGTCATAATAACTACACGACGCTGTTTAGGCCCAATTAGTCTCCTACCAGCCGTGTGATAGTCCAAAAACTAAACACCCATGTGGTATATATCCCTCGGTAGTTTACGAAATGTCCCTATGAAAATGAACGAACCAATCAGGTGAAAGGAAGGAGGAGCTAGTATACGACCTTGATCCCACAGTTTATCAGTATTTAATCACGGGGTTTTGGGAAATAGCTAATGACCTGCTCCCCTCCCTCTCGGTAAAAAGACCTGAACCAAAAAAAAAAAGAAATTCCTATTTTCCGCAAGGCTATACTTTGACATTCGATATTTTGTTTGGGAGAAATTATAAGTAAAAACACATATTATATGAAATTTATTTAGGGGATATCAAGGAGCTTCAGCGTGGATTTGAGGGGACCACAAATTCGCCGTCTACAATAGCACTGGCTTTCTATGACGCTCTGTGGGCGTACGACGGTTGGTAAGTTTCTTTTTGTTTGTATCTCCGTTCTGTTACTGCCATCTAAAATCACTATCACAATTGGTTGTGACTATGATAGCTCCTAAGTTTACACCTATCATTTGTGTTGGTGTATTTTAGAATACATGGTACCTTACACATTGTAGCCTCATATCTCCATTAAACACTTTAAATAAGTACGAAATTCAGAATGTCCTTATTGTTATCAATGCAACGTGCCTTTAGGATCCCCGTTATACAGGTAAAGACTGTGACTGAGAATTGGAAAACTGTTTAATTAAAATCTGAATGTTAAACATGTAACGGGACCAGACCGGGGTTCGAACCTTGGACCTCCAATAACAACACGCTCGTTCTAACCAATCCGGCTTCATGGACAGCGGTAGTTCCCTGGCACAGTTTAACTGCAATCGGGAACCGTCAGCACTTTCCGTAAACGAGAAAAGTGCTGACGGTTCCCGATTGAGTTGCACTACAGTAATTTCAACAAGGAGTTAAGGGGAGGTTACTCTAATTATTAAAAAAAATACATTTGTCTGCGGTGGGACAGGGATCTGTAATTGATTAATAACATCAGAAGTATCAGCTGTAAAACAGAAGCTTCCTAAATTCACATTTCTGGTGATTAGTGATCGCTTACAAATTGTATTGACTGTTTATCTTACCTTTTAGGAACAATCTGAACTATTTGACAGAAGAAATAGAGAACCCCAAAAAGTAAGTATCCTTTAGTTTCTTACTTCCGTTTGTTTTGTTCAAAATGAAAAAAAGACAGGGTGCGATTGCTTACGTATATATTGATATGATGTTGCTGTATCTTTTAGGTCGCGAGTAGATACTAATATTTGAATGCTATGCGATATAGAATCAAGCTATTTATAAGTTTAGTCAGTGACATAGATAACTAGACAATGTAAAATGCAAGTAAATTTCCCCATCATAGAAAAAGCTTTTTGTCATTTTGTAATAATCATTAACTATTTGTTCTTTTGCACTTAAGTGTAAAAATGTTTTTTTTAATTAAGTGTAAAAACGTTTGGGTTATTCTGTTTTGCAAAAGCTACTTTTTCCATTGAAGTGTTTACAACGCTTCAAAAATGGGTACTGGAATCATTCATTTTGTCGAAAATAGGTATGCAGATAGTTTTTGCCATAATGTGATTTTTTGCTATTAAATCCTGTTTTTCCACTTAAGTGTAAATCTTTTGCACTTAAGTAGTTTTGGTATTTTACTCTGAAACGGCCGCCCATACCTGCGAGGGGACACAGAGGGTATTGATTCTAAGATCTAAACTATGACAATATCTTATGTCCATGCTGATATATACATAACATAATGAAAAATGAAAAAAATACACTGACAAGTTTTCTCACAATATTCAATAATTAAAACTGGCGATAATTGTTAATTAAGCAGGATTTCAGAAAGAGCTGTGGTTATAGTAATATCCAATCTTGTAAGTCACTTTATGCCGAGATTCTTTTAAAATTCGTGAGAAACATTGTCCTAATATAGTTATGTATGTACGATTTAAAAACAAGGTAAAACCTCTTTCTCTTCGTTATCCTAAAGTAACCAACCGCAACCTCCAAAGTGAATTAATAATTGGTGATTAGTCTTAGTGTTGCTAGATCTTTTTCATTTATTTTAAAGTTCTGTAAAGATAGGTAGTCTTCCTCTAATGAACGTTGTTTAATTTCGCTGTACAACAATTTTAAAACTATTATAAATCAAACACTTGCATTCTTGTAAAATGTTTCAACTATTGTATGCATTAAACTTTGAAACAACGTTTTTTCTTATTGCTGTTCAAAATCATCATTGGTTAAAAAAAAATAAAAAAAATGAAAACAAATGTAAATCATATATTTAAATCCAACTTTCATTGAGTCTCTAATTTACTATCTATGACTCCTTTATAGTACCTTTTGTGTATTTTTGTGATCCATAGTAAATAGCACAATGCTTCAGAATTTCAAAAATACAGTATTTACTCAATCGTTAACTGGCCAATCCCTGCTCTCGAAATATGTATCAATCGACGATCTTGTATATTGGTAATCTTACTAGCGAGTCGTTTTTTCCCAGTGTTATTGTCAGTGGTGTGCATGAATTGCATATGCAAGACCACTCACTTGTGTTTTTCTAACGAACCAGAAAGCATGAGTTTATTGCGCAGACGAATATATTCACGATTGCGCGGAGCGCACGAGTGCATATATATGTCCGCGCAATATTTGAATGCTTTCTGATTCGTTAGAAAAACACAAGTGTGTGATCTTGCTTGTACCACATACCTTCCGTATTTGGTAGAGATCGATACAAAGATGTTATAAACTTTGATATTTTTTGCAAATACCGGGACCCTTTCAGTTCGCCATGACAAGGGGGTTCCCATAAAAAGTAGTTCCGGCTAGTAGGTAAATACAACATTCCGTATTGCACATCTGCAATACAGAACGTTGTATTTCATGGTCTGAAAATTGCTTGTATTGATAAAATATATGCTGAAGCTTTACTTTCTTTTTGGAAATCCTGTTGACGCTCATTTACTATGTACTCCAGATACAATGCTTCCGTCTAACTGGTATTTTTTGTAAGTGAAAACAACAATGTAAGATAATGTAAGCATGCAAATGGTTATATCTTATAGTTAGTTCCTATATTACATTTGATACATAAAACATGTCATCTGTTCCTACACGGAACTAACTGTGGTAATGTGTTCAATGTTGATGACGATACGTTGATATCCATTCCATAGGAATTTACCTCGTGCCAATATAGCGGGTGTACTCCTCGTAACAGTTGTATACCTCCTGACCAACATATCGTATCTGACCGCTATGACGTCAGCAGAATTGTTGGCATCAGACGCAGTGGCAGTGGTGAGTGTTGTCGTTCATTGACATACTTCAATATATCACGAATGGTCTGTATAACAGATTCAGTATGTTATCTCATTATCATTTTTAAACATTCAGTGAGCACTTTTGTTACTGGGCTGGTAAGGGATGAATAATGAATAATCAAGGGATGAATAATCGTGGAAAAATGTCAATAATAACAATGAATGCATATACAATTAAATATGTTAGTGTAGTTCCGTTGTTTCAATAATAACGAAATAATGAACAGAATAGACCTGTTGTATATGGCGGTATGATACCTATTGCCTATCGCAATCAATGCATTAAAAAAACATTCTTTAATCGTATTGTGTTGCCATTTAAATGCTAGAAAATACTACAAATACTTTAAATATTGATTGTAATATTTGTTTGTGATTTATTGACTTACATATGGTAGCTGTATTTCATTTGCAAATAACGGTGAAAGCAGGCTTTTTATATAGGGATTGATTGCATGGATTTATTTTCATGTACATTGCAGCAATGAATATTAGCTGATCTACATATCCTGTGGATGCGTTAGATTTACGTTACGATGAACTACTATAAAAAAGTTACAACACTTTTTGTAGATTTAATTTTTTTTGATATAAGGATCAGTCAGAAAACCATAAAAAAGGAACAGCCAGAATGCCAGCTTACACACAAACTTCAATTGTTGTTGAAACGAAAATATATATATAGAATCTAATAATAACCAACACTTTATATTCCTTTCATTTTTGAAAGATGATCTTATTTGATGCTTTTTTTCGCATTAAACACCGCGTATTATATACTTTAAAAAGTTTATGTCCGCACTATTTCAAATCATCGGTCACCATAGTAACCATCCAGGGCACTCGTCGGCCGAGCACTCGTCGGCAGTAGGCATAGAGCTCATTTGAAGTTAAACATAGTTTACTCACCTGGTAAGGTTTGGCATTGGCAACACTCACCTCTCATATAAGGACATTTAAGCTGATTTATCGTTTTCAAATACCAAATATTCTTTCAACTGGATTTCAATGAGTAAATTCTGAGTCCATTTTCAGTTGCCGCTGTGATATTTAAATTTTGGTTTATTCCTCTGTTTATCAGACTTGGGGTGACCGTGTTCTAGGATCAGCCGCCATTTTGATGCCACTTTCCGTCCTCTTCTCCACTTTTGGTTCTGCGAACGGAACTTTGTTCTCCGGCGGCAGGTACGTGACGTCACCTGATATCAATGAAACATTGAGACATTACATATCAAGTTTTTAGACCTTTGCACACAATCAACATTCGTTAATCTTTTTAAACCATAAGATAAATGCGTATTATGATTTCGGCCAAGTATGCACGTATCCTTTTTAAAATAGTTTCTTTGAAAAACTATATGTTTATGCATGTGTTTGAAAATGTAATTACATGAACACAATATTTGTTAAGCAAGAGAAATAATTAATGAACAAAAAAGCAACATATTTTGGTTCGTAAAGCACCTCGCAATGAGTGAGCACCTTGAATAAAATTAGTGAATTATTGATACGGATATCTAGTGAATATAACCACACCCTGATTTAAACAAGTGATGTCCTACAGGCAGTCATTAAACCAGATTCGAATTTTAAAGTTGTATATGCTTGAGACATGCTCATCTATTTTATATTACAGAGTTGTGTATGTAGCAGCAAGAGATGGAATGCTACCAGAAATGTTGTCATATGTTAACTGTAAACGGTACACCCCCGTACCGTCCATTATCTTCACGGTGAGTCTAGTTATACGGCATCTGTATGACGTCATACCCCGGTTATACGTCATCTGTATGACGTCACAACCCCGTACCGTCCATTATCTTCACGGTGAGTCTAAGCATACGTCACCTGTATGACGTCACATCCCGTACCGTTCTTATCTTCACGATAAGTCTAGCAATACGTCATCTGTATGACGTCACACCCCGTACTGTCCATTATCTTCACGGTGAGTCTAGTCATACGTCATCTGTATGACGCCACACCCCGTGCAGTCCATTATCCTAACGGTGAGTCTAGTTATACGTCACCTGTATGTGCAAGGCTATCATTATTACACATTTTTGAAATATACTAGTTAGGTAACATTGGTTTATTGCAAACAACATTTACAAGCCATATTTCATCTGAACTGGTAGAGGTATTTGAAACCGTACGCGATAAACACGAAGGTATTGCTGGTCATTAGATATTAATACTGTACTTAATTACTGTCCAACATCCCATTGTTTAAAGTCGTGGTATGAGGACAGTTTATATATATATATATATATATATATACTGTAATTCATAATGATATTTTCTTTGCTGTATAATAAGCCCTTCATTTGCATATACATGTATATGAAAATATACATTCAGGATAATACATACTGAATTGTACACACGTATACAGAATGTATAATTCAGTATGTATCATCCTTCCTGTACTAACAATGTCTTTGACTATAAACTACAGTATGTTTTACCCTTGCTGTTCTTACCCTTTATTTGTATATATACTTAGTTCAATATATGCTACCCATACTCTGATAACCCTCTATATCAATATATGTCTGTACGTACCCTTGTAATAAATCTGCATTTCTGTCCCCAGTCGATAATTTCTATCGCCATGATTATTCCGGGAAACCTTTCGGACCTGATCGACTTCTTTAGCTTCACGGCCTGGATCTTCTACGGTGTCACAGTCTCGTCGCTCATTGTCTGCAGGTTTACAATGAAAGACGCGGAGAGAGTGTTCAAGGTAAAACAAGTTCTTATTCAGATTTATAATAGATCGAGTAACAGTTTTCTGGGTAAAAAAACGTATCACTACGATGCAATATTAATACTTCCAGTGTGAATATTGTACAACAGCAAACGAAGCAAGTTCTATTTGTAAAGTGGATCGTTGCACAAGTCCCCAAAACTTACCTTGTAATAGTAAGTTGCTTTGAAAAGAATTTTGTAATCGCAAATGATGCATCGGAAAGGATTTGCAATTCCATTACACCCTTACAAAATACGTTGGAGCAAATTCGGAAAAGAGAGGGACCGTGGGCACCACCTTGACGTACACCCCTACATATGATAAACAATCATAGGTCACTGTGGCCATGTTTGATAAGAACATACATCTATACATGCTCAACAATGCTCATGATAAGAACAGGATTTGTAATTTGTATGCCTCCCTCTTCGTTTGAGGGACTTAATTACGCCACCATTTCGGTCATCCTTGTGCCATAAAACAATCTGAAAATTAACTAATCCCTTCTCTTTTATTACCAAACTACGTTTCCGTGGTTCCTGTTAATGTCTGTTTGTGACGATACATAGTTCATGTTGCATCACTGCTCAATATGCTTGCTATAGGGTATATGTATATATTTCCATAGATTTTGCTTTTAAAATACTACTGTTCTTGATTACAAACTCTACTTTTGTTTAATTGTATAGGTACCCCTACCTATCCCCATCTTGTTTGTTCTGTTGTCGCTGTATCTCATCATCGGCCCTATAATACAAAGTCCCCGGATCGAATTCCTCTACGCCTTCCTTTTCATCATTGGCGGACTCATCTTCTACGTCCCTCTTGTCTACTTCAAACTCAACATTCCATTCTGGGGTAAGTATCATTTTAGAAAACAATAAAAGTTTTACCTTGAAACGCAATTTCCTAAATCCTGTTTAACGTCCTCAGAAACAATTAAATGGGTAATGATAAATATGATTGAAAATTGCAATTATTTCTCCTACTTTGTTAACATATTCGTATAACACATGACAGATAAATAGTTGAAATAGATTGAATTCCTCTATGACGTAAAGCTAGCAGTGTGTAATGGATGACTTAGCTTTGCAAATGATAAAAAAAGAGAATAAACGTTAACGAAATCGTAATTCGAAGTCTAATTCAATGCAACATGCTCAGAATTCGAAAATGACATATTATTAAATGGATACCCTTGAAGATATTTCGAAAAGGTAAGCGTGTTCTTCTTCATCGTCGATACCCGCCAAAGACATCTGGGTCGAATCCAAATATTTTCATTTGCGTGACAGTGTCACTAGATAATACCTATTTGAAAGCTATGTCGTTTATGGGACTTAAATGCCATATCCAATATCCAATTGTGTGTAAAAAAATTTTTTTTTATATATTTAGAAAATACTTTTATTACAACAACAAAAAAAAAGAAAAAAAGATCTGCAATGTCGTTCAAAATGCACATCGGTTGGGCGCATTATGATGTTTGCTTGCAAAGCTGTGTCATTCAAATAGATCATAAAGGCCATACAAAAAATAGTTCACTGCTTAAATAATGACACGATGTCAAATTGAGAACCGAGTAAATGACAGTGAACTAACAATTAAGGTACACTGATGAGCAAAATCAATTTTTCAATTACAGGAAAAATATCCACTTTTTCTCAACTGTTCTTTGAGTCAGTACCAAGTCCCTACATACCCGATGAGTAGGTCACGTGATCCAGCCAAGGAGACGTCACATGTACAAATAAAGTTGTAAAAATGTCATTTAAAGGTCTATTTAATGCCTATGTAATTATAGAAAATATATGAAAACTGTCATGTGCTTGAACAAACATCGAAATGTGTATAATATATTTTGTATAAGTTGCCTGTTAGTTTGCAATTTCAGAGTTCATCATATTATTGGATATAAATTATAACGAGAACACGCATGCAGTACCCATCACAGTACGTAATGTTGGTAATGCATTATCATGCATGTATGAATGCAATTAGTATTACGCGAGTATTGCTATATACATGTGCACATTGGTAATAATGCAAGTGCAATATTGTAAGTATTGATACAAGAAATATGTTTGTGAGATACTGGCATTACGATTTGTAGGTTTCTATACATCATTGGTATTATATTATGTACATTTTGCATCTGCACCATTGATAATGCTATTGTATTATTTGCTAAGTAGAACATTAATACTAATAAAACATTACCCTGAATGTATGTATAACATGATACTGGTACTAACGATGAATTACATATATGTGTGGCATTCGTGACTGACCGTATAAATGATATTTTGATACGCAACTTTGATAACATAACTTTGAATGCATCACTTCCTACGGCATCGATACTCCAGGGGTTGCGCTAACTTACGCTCTCTGTGCCCCAGGAATATGTCATAGCAAATTCTAACCACCTTGTGAATGCGACAAGAAGCTTACTGTACATCAAAATAATATCGCAGCCGCGTAACGGTTAAATTGACTGGCTTTGAGGTTGGGTATCGTAACTGGCTTTGAGGTCGGTTAACGTAACTGGCTTTGAGGTCGAGTCGCTCCTATGTAATCTTCAAAGGACAGGGATCAGTCTAGCGATTGGTCAGGTTTTCTTAAAACCTGACACCAATCGAATAGCTAGCCCTGTGCCTTTAAATTTGCTATGACATATTACAGTGCTGCAGAGAGCGTCCGAGAGCGTTAATGATGCACTTCCTGTAAATGCATTACTTTTTGTATAGAACATTGGAACTACAAATGTGTGGCATTGCATCTGTATTACATTTACATTCCGAAATGCATTACTTTGTGTGTATAGCAATGGTGCTGAGAATGCATTACTACTGTTTAATATGATATTTAAGGATACCCGTACCACTGCCAAAAAATTTACTTAGCATTGGTCCCTGGTTTTCCCGGCATGACCATACCTTAAATAAATCATTTCGGAAATTAACACCATAACATGCAGAATTTTATGAGAAATAATAAAGATGAAATAAACAGCATATAATCAACAACAGTGTTCTGGGTGTAAAAAATCAGCGAGGCTGGACCAGCTTTCGAATCCTGGACTTCATATCGCATTGACCGAGTGAGCTGCCTGGTCTATGGAAATGTTTTTATCCAAACGGAAGTTAATTGGAGGCTGCTGTACAAAGGAACACCACAGTTCAGCTTTTGTGTTTTATAGTTGCAATTTATGCAGCTACTACAAACTTATATTGTCTCTGAGATATTGCTGATTTAACCTCTGAGGGCAACTTGTATGTTTTAATGTACTGTATGCAGAGATATCTTAGTTGTTGTATTTATTATATATAATATGTTACAACTCGGAGTGAAATTTAAAATGACTCCGGAACATTTCATTTTAACATAACTAAGATTATTTGATCATTGTTATACTAATGTCATTGTTTATGAAAAAAAGAAGTCATGTACAAAACAATTTGAGAACTGTTAATCTATTGTAACAGTATAATTTGATTTTCATAGCTCTGAAAACTATTTGGACTTAGTAATGAACCTTGCGCAAGGACAGCGTGAAGAAATATCATGCTTAATATTTCGGTTATACCAAAGAATTAATTACTTTTATGTGATAACTCCTGTTTCGTTAATTGGAGAAATTCATTATTATTAATATTTATCTTATGTCAAAATGCCCGGATAAATGATGTTCCGTAGATGATGTTTCCTGAGTGGTGTGTGTGTGTGTGTGTGTGTGTGTGCCTGATTTCTATTTCAATCATACCAAATAATTGGTAATATACAGAGTTACAATAAATGTGATACTTCTACAACGCTATATGTTGTAGTTTGAGTGTCGGGCTTTGACCCACTGTTGAAGATGTTGACCATGGTAAATTTAAAAATAAAATAAAATGATACAATCAGATATTTACGTTTTTGTTGTAAAATAACAGGTCGTAAACAACAGCATGCAACACACAATAACATGAACAATTTGACAGATGAATGTTTGGAACACAAAACAGCTATCACTAACTCCGTCTGTTTGGACAAAGGACACGCGCGCGGTCCAATACTTATTTTATCATTATATATATATATATATATATATATATATAGGTATATCTAGCAAATACAGGAACTTACTCCTATCTTAATTCCATATTTCTCTTTCTGTCTTACGTTTCCTCACTTCTACACACTTTATGCATCAATTTAGTTTTATCAAAATATATTTGATATCGCCACTGATGTAAAATATAAAACAACTTTTATACATAATAAAACTCTAAGCAAATGGAACAAAAAAACAACTTTGGGGTGATTGAATTCAAGTAGAACGGTTATCAAGGTATAACGCGTGAACATGTTGCAAGCGTGGATGAATATCCATCAAGCTGGAGCACTTAGGTATCGTATCGTTGCTACGGAGGACTAGAGGTCATTAATTTCTTTGTTATTTTATCAAGAATAAATATTTCTCGGTTTGAAACAGTGGATAAATTTAAGAAAATCTTACTCTAAATCTAAAACATTGGAGAGGAAATGATAAATTTGAGCTATACTTTAGCCGAGACTGGAAAGACCAACAGTGAGGTGGTTCCAAAAAATCCCCTAAAATTATCCTCTAATCGTTAAACTTGAATGATTTAGTTGCAAAAATAACCCGATCGAGGCGGGAGCTTACCTCTGAATTTATCACTGCTAACGATAGCTACACAAACAGGAAGTGTATGCTTATAAAATCATAAATGTACTAATTCACAATGAAACTGTTTGGGTCAGTACAGCACACAAGTTCATGATAGATAGTTATAGCTAGATATGACCAATTTCAAAACAAGAGATCAGCCTACCATATCGTGTTGGAATATTAACGGGCTTGGAGGGAAACATAATGATGATGCATTTCAATCCCATCTAAATTGTGATATCAACATACTTCTAGAAATCTGGACAGGAGATCACTCGGGCATAGCCCAATCTAATTTTATTACTTTCTCTAAATGTAGAAAGAAAAATAAGAGGGCTAAAAGAGACAGTGGAGGCATAATTATCTATGTTAAAAGCTCAATTGCTAAAGGAGTAACACATGTAAGTAAAGTCACAGCATCTGCTAATAGACTGTGGATCAAAATAGACAAACAATGTTTTGGTCTTGAAAATGATGTTTTCATTTATGCAATTTACATCCCACCAGTATCGTCAAATTACTATGAAGATGACTGCCATAATATTGAGGCTGAGATAGCATCACTAGCAACAGAAGGAAATATGTTGGTAGCGGGAGATTTTAACTTCAGAACTGGCTCCTGCCCAGATTTCACACTAAACGATGAATTATCAGAACAAACTTCTCATCTTCTCCCTAACAATTATCAAGCTGACAACACTGCATGCAGAAATTCTGTAGATTCAGTCACTAACCATCAAGGGAGACAACTTCTGAATTTGTGTATTTCTTCAAGCCTGAAAATAGTAAATGTAAGGTTTGTTGGCGACTCCATTTGGAAACTTCACATGCTATAAAAGTTTTGGTTGTAGTGTTGTGGATTATATTGTTGTCAATTCTAGCCTTCTCTCCTCAGTTGAAATTTTTACTGTGAAACAACCTTCATATTTATCAGATCATGTTTAAATAAGAGTCACACTTTCGTGTAATGTCAAGTGTGGTGGACTTAAAAAGCCCAGGCTGCACACTTAAAAGAAATATGTGAGGAACAACATGTCTAGAGAAAAACTGGTAAATAGTCTTACTTTACCATACCTACAAAATGAAATCCCTGACTTTCAAGAGATGTATATTGTGGATAATGAGGAAAGTATTGATAAAGCTTCCGAAAAATTATGTAACATCTACAGTGTAATGCAAGAATCATGTATGACTTTTAAATTTAGATGCAAGAAAAAAAGAGAGAAACGGTCACAATGGACTGATAGTGAGTTCTTCAGTGTACGGAGCACAGTAAATTATCTAGGTCAGAAGATGAAAAAACAGCCATTTAATAATGAATTGCATGCCAGTTTCTTTTTAATGGTAAAGAAATTGAAGGCAATTACAAAGGCAAAAAAAATATATATAAAGAAAATCTACTATGTAAACTCAATCGTATTCCAGCGCATGATTCTAAACAGTTTTGGGCCTTTCTTAAATCTGTTAATAAAAAGCAACTAGAAAATGTGTTGATCACTTTAAGGACCTGGGTCGCAAACAAAAGGTCAATCCAGAATTTGATGATTATTTTTCTCAAGAATTGGACACTCTAATTACAAATCTTGATACTAAAGTTATAACTGACCAAGCTATTATTATGAAGGAGATTAAACAGGCAATTCGAGATCTCAAATGTGGCAAGAGTTGTGACCCAGATAATATAACAAACGAGGTCATAAAGCACTCTTCTTCAGTTATGCTGAATAATCTATCAAAACTATTCAATATCATTTTAAATTGTGGTTGCTATCCAAAAAGGTGGGGCAGATCATACTTGGTTCCTATATTTAAAGCTGGAGATAAAAGCCTGCTAACTAATTATAGAGGTATATCCCTTATTAGTTGTCTCAGTACTAATTCTATTTTAAACTAAAGACTCACTGAATTTATGGCAGATAAATTATCCGACCTTCAATTTGGTTTCAGGAAAAAGCAAAAAAACCCACAGATAGCTTATTTGTACTTAAATCTCTCACTACCATGTATATTTATGGTCAAAAGAAAAAGGTATTTACCTGTTTTGTTGATTTTAACAAGACTTTTGACTCGGTATTGAAAAAAGGTTTGCTCTATAAGTAAACTAGATATGGTATCGGCAGCAAACTCTTTCAAGTCATTAGTAATATGTACAAGAAAACTTCGTCTATCTTCAAAGGACCTGGTACAGGAACAAAAGAATTTTGCCCACAAAGCAATTTAACCAGTACTGGGTTATATTTGTAGCTCCCTTAGACACGATCCATGAGATATTTTTTAAAAATTAAAAAGGTCCCCAGGGCCTGTGCTATGAACTATTTAGTGCCGCCTTCCAAAGGTGTACGACAAAGTTCACTTTTTTGTCCAAAAAACTATCAAAACAATGTTTTACGCTACCAAATAATATTATATTATTTAAAATAGGATTTGCTGCAAATTATGAACTAAAATATGTAACAAAACATTGCATAATAAAAAAGTTATAAAATCTTAAACTCTAAAAATGTTGGTATTTTCATACACTTTTTTGCTACATCAATTGTTTTACGGAAGTAAAACACCAATTTTGGGTTCTTGTACAACAAAAATCTTTTAATATTATTTGGTGCATTATGTTGAGATATGATAGTGAAAATATCAGAAAATTTGAGAACCGGTAAATTTGTCATATAAATGTCAAATTGTAGCAACGTCTATTTCCAAATAAAATCCAACAACCTTATGACCTATAGTCATATTTGATAATTTAACAATACGTCGCACCAATTTGTTATCGCAACTGATCAAATTTTCATCAATAAGGTCTGCTGCTCATGATGAGCCCAACTATAAAGCTAGATGTTGCAAAATAAAAAAGTTATGCAGTCTCACACACACAAGTTTAGTATGTTATGTACATTTTTAGTTGTTTCGCATCTTTACGGAAATGATAGACATATTTCCGGTTTTTGTACACCAACATACTTTGGATATTATTTGGCACATTATGCTGACTGACGATAGCAGAAATTTCGAAAAAATCGGCACTCGGTAAATGTGTCATCTTAAGGATAATATGTTTAATTTTTAAAACATATCTCATGGGTCGTGTCTTAGGGAGCTACAAATATAACCCAGTAATGGTTAAATTGCTTTGTGGGCAAAATTCTTTTGTTCCTGTAACAGGTCCTTTAATTCGTTCTTCTCCGATTACTTTGATAGTTTTAGAGGACTCAAGCAGGGGGATAGTATGAGTCCCTCTTTGTTCAATTTATATGTAAATGATCTTCCTGATCTATTAAAAAATGATCCTTTAAAGCTTGTCGACTCGGAAATAGGTTGCCTTATGTTCGCAGATGATCTGGTAATATTGTCTGAAACAGCCGAGGGATTACAAAAATCCTAAAATAACTTAAATAAATATTGCAATAGATGGAAACTTTTAATAAATACCCAGAAAACAAAAGCAATGATATTCAATTCAACAAACCATGTTATTAAAAACTACAAATTTAATATTGGTAACTATAACTATAATATAGACATAATAAAGAATATAAATATCTTGGTAACCTGATAAATACAGCTGGTAAATGTAAACTCTTTCAATCCCTTGTAAAACCTGTCCTGACTTATAATGCAGAAGTATGGTACATGGGTTAAATCAGATCAGGTAATAGCAGTAAGCAGTTTGATTATTTCTCCTTTTTTGATAAATCTCCTTTTGAGCAAGTACATTTGAAATTCTGTAAACATATGCTAGGGATTTGGAAAAGAGCAGTAAATCTAGGCTCCAGAGCAGAGCTGGGACATTATCCTACTGAGGCCCTTATAAACACTTAAGCATGTGGCTATTTACGTAGAATACTACAAGATTCAGACAATTTAAACCCTTTGATAAAGGAGGCTTATCTATTACATAAAACTTGACATGAAAATGGCACATATACCTGGTTCAGTTATGTTAATGATATGGCATAGACAATGATGTACACCAAATTATACAGGATCCTGACGCATCGTACAGTAATTACCAACTTAAAATTAAAACCAAGCAAAACATCAAAAGAAATATGAGATAAGATTCTTGAATAAGCTAAAAACTTTAAAACGAGAGTAATAAATTAAGCATGCATAAAGACTTGAAGAATTAACAGTAGTAATTTAAGGCAAATGTTTACTTCATTTCGTTTATGTGAACACTAGCTGGAGCTAGCCATGGGGCGTCTCAAAAGTATACCAAGAGACCAGAGACTCTGTAAAAGATGTGGTGTGTTAGAAAATGAAGTACACTTCTTTTTTCACTGTTCCCTTAATGAATCTGCCAGAAAAGAATATTTCCAAAAATGCATTCCTAATCACAATGATGTTACCTTAGATACCAATTATATATATTTGACCTCAATATTATCTACAAACAACTCACAGTTTATACTGGACTCTTGCTTATTCGTTAAACAGTCTCTAGAACTGAGGAGAGTGGGCTTGCTGACAGTATAATGTATGGACTTTGCAGCTGAACATGTTTCAATCAAATTTTCTATTTGAGGCTATGTTAATTTTGTCCATGTTAATGTATATTAGAAATATAAGCAATCACTTGGGACTTTTCTACATGTACATGTCTATGCATGTATTTCACCGTGTTTTACTATTTTGACTTCAAACTACTTTGTAGTTACAAATGTACAAATATTTATTTATTATTTTTTGGTATTTGTTATTTCACATCACACATGTCCGTAAGAAAAAAGGAGAAATGAATGTTAGTGACATTTATTTTTCATTTTTCTTAGAGATGTGTGTTATGTTAAATAAATGGAAAACGAATGAATTTCTAAAATTCTCTGGTATTATTTTATAAGAATCACCACAGGCAACCGACTGATCCCTATACAGGCACGTATCGTCTATAATGTACGACACTACTCCAGTAGTAAGAGAATCTATCAGAAGCCCAATTCATGCAAGCTCATCATGGTTAATTTGTAAATACATCATTTTTATCTTTATATAGATCTATTGTCATAACGATCGATTATTAAGCTGCAAAGTTATATTTTAATGATTACATAGCAAGAATTCCTCGTCTATTTTTAGAATAGAACTTACGCCATCGATTGGTTCACTACAGGTATATTCCTGTCGAGATGAAAATAGAATTGAAGTCACCGTGTCCGTTCGTAACTCCTCGTGTTTAGCCGTATTACAGTATGAAAAGTCCACGAATTGAAACTAGAGGGGCGTGGCACGTTTGTGACCCAAAACAGACACAGCAAGTATGGACACGTCTAGCGTGTTCTATATAAAAAGAATCGGCAGCGTCGGTCGATCATTGGAATTACCACCAACCTGACAGCACGAACACAGTAAGTCTCCAATACACTGAACGGGACGTTAAAGTGTCAAATAAAATTATCATATATAGGATATTATAATATTACATACGTAACGAAAATTTTGTACATAAACATAATGTTGCTGATATTACATATAGTATATGTATGTGTCAAATAACACCCGGAAGGTGTTCTGTACGTTCCTCCTAGTTATTTGACTGCAATCTCCTTCTTATATCTACAGCAATCTGTCAACTACACATGCAATTTGTCATAGCACGCATATGCAAATTAAGTGGAGACATATCGATTTAATTAGATTACCACTTTTATCAAACTCTATTATTGCAGTGACAACCTTAAACGAGATGAACGTTTGTCATGTGATAAGTTTAAGGAAGGACATATATGTACACCATGTAGTTATGGTGGCATAGAAATCATAAAAACATCCCAAAAGGCAATGTGTGTAACACTGTAGACACGTGGAAGGTACAGCTGATTAAGTTGAGGCTCAAAGATTAACCTATCTATATAAAAGGTGTATTAACAGACAAGGCTAGTTCCCTGAGATAAAGCTACATTCAATCCCAGCAAAAATTGGTGTATCGTAAGATCACAGGTCTATATAGGCCTACATACTACTTACCTCGTTTATATATAGGTGTATCATAAGATCATACAGGTTCAAGCCACGTCTGTCAAAACACCTTTAATATAATGATTATATTAAAGTTGTATTGACAGACAAGGCCAGTACCTGTGGTAAGATGACTGGATGGATGATATCAGTATGTGCCTTAATTCACTGACTGGATATGGTGGGATAACCAGACTAGTATAATAATGACTGGATATAAAGTGGGATAACATAATTAGTAATGAATGGCTATGTGACTAGTAATGTGACTAGGGATAACTAGATTAGTAGTGACTGGATATATAGGGACAACTAGATTAGTAGTGACTGGATATATAGGGACAACTAGATTAGTGGTGACTGAATATATAGGGACAACTAGATTAGTAGAAACTGGATATATAGGGACAACCAGATAAGTAGTGACTGGATATATAGGGACAACTAGATTCGTAGTGACTGGATATATAGGGACAACTAGATTAGTAGTGACTGGATATAAAGGGACAACTAGATTAGTAGTGACTGGATATATAGGGACAACTAGTCGTGAATGTACTTTCTTCCTGTTATATGTACGTATATCAATATGACATTTAGAAAAAGGAATATTGACATGTATAATTAATGTCAGAATGTTTATTTAATCGGTAGGTACCAATACAGCTAGTATCAACATGGCCAAAGAAAAGTGTAAATTTTGGAACAAGTGCTTCAGGAAGGACCCTGCCCACAAGAAAAACTTTCTCCATCCTGGTGATGAAGTAGAAGAGGATGGTAAGCGTCAGTTCCTTTTAACAGCCTCGATACTCAAGGGGGTGACACTCACTTTCACCGCTTCCCCTGGAATGTCACAGCAGAATTTAGGCACAAAAATAGTTATTTAATTGCTCTCGGGTTAAAAAAACCTGACCAATCACTAGGCTGATACCTGTCCATTGAAGATTACAGAGGACGACACCTGACTTCAAAGCCAGTCAATTTTACTGACTTATGCGGACGCATTAAGATTCTTTTGATGTCCATCAAAAATTAAAAAAAACTAATCTCCTTGTCTCATCAGCAAGGTGGGCTGAGCTGAGCTTTTGATTTTTGCTATGACATATCCCAGGCGTGCAGAGAGCTAAGTGAGCGTAACCCATGAAGTATCGAGGATGCAGTTCCTAAAGTTACGAAAATATTTTCTTTTAATAATCATGCCCCTCTACAAATTTGTTTTTGTGTCTAAAAAAGCTTTTAAGGGTTTATGAAAAATGCTGTGTTCATAGACGCAGTTCATAAGTTAAAAGGGCTATCATCAATTAAACCATCTCATACATGCATGTTTGAATTTAAACTAAATTAAGTAAAGTAAGGCTAGCTAAGTTTTAAAATGGGAATAGGGAAAGCATAGTCAAAAAGTGATTGTATTTTGCATATTATAAATGAATTATTCTAATTCACACAAAACCTGTATGTATTTCTAATATTATCAAGGGAGATAATTTGTATTTATAATGTTGTTATGATACAGATGATGAACCTATGGATGTAGCAGATAAACCTGTCCCTCTGAGGCGGCGAAAGACACATGAACTAAGTCAGAGTGATGCTGAGGACGATACAGAGGTGCCAGCTAAAACAACTCTGAAAAAAACTAACTCAAAAAAGGCCAAAATCTCTGAAGATAACGAGCAGCCGGGCCCATCAGGGGCAGGTAACTCTAGTGATGAGGACACTAGCAAACCAAAGTGTGAATATTGGGTGAAATGTTACAGAAAAGATCCAAAACATTTAAAAGACTACCGCCATCCAAAGCAAAGACTGAGCAGCCGGCCAAAACCAACGAGGAAGTTAGAGGACGGGGATATCGTCAGCGTGGAGGGAGGTTTTAAACTTAAAAGACTTGGCAGTGACTTCACATGCACGTAAGTTGATATTCTGTATATACTGTACTACAAAGCGTTGTTTGGAGCAGTACTGTGGGTATGGTGTCTATCTTAGAAATCGGTTCTGTTCTCAATATACACATATACTCTACACCTTCGGAATATGCCATATGTCAAAATCAAAGGCGCTGTACGCATCACTTTGCAAATGATATGAGTTGCTGAGTCTGGACACTGATACCCTGTATGTACAGTAGTACAAAACCCCACTTAAAGCAATATTATTGATATGGTGTCAATCTTTGAAATCCAAGGGTTCTATTTGCGATGCTCACATGTTCACTACACCATCGGAATATGCCATATATATGTCAAAATCAATCACTTTACAGATGATATGAGTTGACTATAGTCTGGACACTGCTACAAAATCCTGCTTACCTTGATATCTCTTTGATACAAGATAAAAGAAACTGCATGCCAGTAGAAAAGTATATGTAGTTGACAGCCATTGACTTTGGTGAAGCTCCTCTGTAAGGGCAGCTAGGTGTCAACATAGTGATTGGTCAGATTTTTATGTCAGAAACATATCAAACGGCTAAGCATGTTATAATAAATTCCAAGGGTGCAGACTGAAGAGAAGATATCTGAATAGAAAGTTGAATCCATAAATTTCATATATGTATGTTGTTGTGGTCTAGCTTGTTTGACCCTGTTGTGGTCTAGCTTGTTTGACCCTGTTGTGGTTAGCAGAACTTTACAGTAAATCCTAGATATAATGCCCCTTGTTTGATTTTCCACCTGTTTGCTTAAGATTTCCTTATACTTATCACTCAATTTATCTTCAAACCACTTTATACTGCCAAAATTTCTCTGGGCAACTGGTGACAGTGTAACGAGGTTTTACTGTAGTGTGTTTTGTTATTTTGATATTTGTGGCCAGGTACAACTCAAGTTAGGCTGTACAAAATGTTTGATTATATTATTTCAGGTGTATTGGGTGGAACACACAGAAGAATGCTACAAACAAACGGACATGTAAACACCTGAGGGAACACTTAGGGGATATTTATGAAAAAGCCAGAATTGGTCAACTTCCTGTGGCAAAGAGGAAGGCACCAGAACCAACACAGCGTTTCAGCCATCTCAACGTCAGTTTGTTACTGGCTCACAAATATGACGAAAAGTAAGTCACCATATTATACTGTAGTACAAAACAAGTTGAAAAGTAGAACTTGACTTGTGCGACCACCCCGTTTTAACAAAAGTAGAACTTAATTGACCTGCAAGACTATCCCATCTGTCACTACAGTAGAACCTGTCTTATGAGATCACTCCTTCTGTCACTACAGTAGAACCTGTCTTGTGAGACCATTCCTTCTGTCTGTACAGTAAAAACTGTCTTGTGAGACCACTTCTTATATCACTACAGTAGAACCTGTCTTGTGATACCACTTATTCTGTCTGTACAGTAAAATCTCTCTTGTGAGACCTCACCGTCTGTCTGTACAGAAGAACCTGTCTTGTGAGACCACTCCTTCTGTCACTACAGTAGAACCTGTCTTGTGATACCTCATCTTCTGTCTGTACAGTAGAACCTGTCTTGTGAGACCACTCCTTTAGTTACTAGAGTAGAACCTGTCTTGTAAGATCATTCCTTCTCTCTAGCTATACGTAGGATGAATCATATTATTCCAGCCCTGCTGCTGGTAAAATTGGTCTTTGAAGGCAGGTCATTTCCATTCCTTGAATAAAATCTTGGTAATTCAGAATCATAAGAGGTTATCTCTCCTAAGGTTTTGTCCCAGAAAAGAGGTTTGGCTCTCAAGAGAAGTTTTAATTTATTTGACGATGTAATTCATTTTTCTGTTACAGATCTCCCAATCCAGTAGGTTGGTGGGTGAGCGAAAAGTTAGACGGTGTACGAGCTTTCTGGAATGGAAAGTAAGTCAATTAACTGAGTAACTTTATATGGAGTATGTTAGTGATTACCGAGTGCTATTCTTTTCCTTTGACCCATATCTGAAACACTTACCATGTGACAGAAACAAAACTTTAATTATCTATCAATCTATAATTATCTATAATCAACAATCTTTCCAACTTATTGAAATTTCCATTGGGGAGATATACACAAAAAAAGAATATGTGTGTATGCACCCTAGGAGAAAATAACACTTTAAATGGCATCTTTTGAGTTGTCTTTTCATCTTATCTTAGAAATAAGAAACAGATAAGCAAATTGACTGGTTGAAAATGCTAAATTTAAGAGCCCCTTATCGGAAGTGCCCCTCCAAAATAGGGAGAGTTTGGCAATTATTAATCAAGATTTTTAAAATGCATCTGCTAAAAGTCTAACTTTAGATTACAGATTATATGTATATTGGCGTACCGATTGAGCCACATGGTAATTTCCTCTAGCAGAGTAAGTAATGAACGACTAGATGATACAAATATCTAGCTGTGTCTGATACTCTTAGACATAACTTAAAAATTGTAAAAGTTATTTCAATACAGTTTAATTCTGTTTTACAGATGTTTTTATTCAAGACTGGGAAACCCATTCTATGCACCAAAATGGTTCACAAAAGTAAGTGATTTAATTTACTTATTTACCCCTGAAATTTCAGAATGACCTATTCCAATCTTTGAATTGGAAGAGTTCAAATGTGTCTTCAGGGGTGAATGAGCTAACAGAGTATTTTATTTTCCTTGAAATTATTTCACATTTATTATTATTCTATTAAGTAGTATTTGTAATAAATTTATGATTTATTGGTCAAGATGCTCATTAATTGATATATATTACAGTTTTATTTGATCTTATTTATGGATTTATTCGTTTATTCTATTACAAAATTTAGAGATATTTAGAAAATATCATCGGTACAAATAATTATTTAAACTCACAATAGGAATGGCTAGATAGAGGACATTCATAAATGTATACAAGTTACCATACACATTTTGCAATACATGGGGTCAAGACAAAATCTTGGACTCAACAATTTAGTAGGATGGGCTTTATTTATTACAGGACAATGAAATGACTTTTATTCACATTTCTGCTGAACTGCAATATATATGGGTGGGCTTATTACCAGGCATGGGCTTAATACCAGGGTGGGCTTATTACCAGGCTTGGGCTTATTACCAGGTGTGGGCTTATTACCAGGCATGGGCTTATTACCAGGCACAGGTTTATTACCAGGCACGGGTTTATTACCAGGCACAGGCTTATTACCAGGCACAGGTTTATTACCAGGCATTGGCTTATTACCAGGCACAGGTTTATTACCTGGCATGGGCTTATTACCAGGCTTGGGCTTATTACCAGGCATGGGCTTTTTACCAGGCACAGGCTCATTACCAGGCATGGGCTTATTACCAGACACAGGCTTATTGCTAGATAAATATACTTAATGCTTTTGTCACCCTGGTAAAATAGCAGCTGCTTCCTACCAACTCTGCTAGGGAGAATTTATCTTTAGCTCATTTGGTAGAGTGTAAGACTTAGTAAACCACATGTCCTGGGTTCGACACTTAGCAGAACCATTGAAATACAATGACCTCTGTTGCAGTCTGATAACTAATTGGCAAATGTTTATTTTAAAGGATCTGCCAAAAGACATGCATCTTGATGGTGAATTGTTTGGTGGAAGGAAGAAGTTCCAGTCGACCGTCAGCATCGTAAAAACACCCGAGTGTGACAATTGGAAAAAGATTAAATACTCTGTAAGTCAGCAATGTTTATATCTAATATTTATAAAGATGATAAAAAAATGTGTTTTAGAAAATAAGTTAGATCTGAACAGGATTGAAGATCGTATGAATGGGGAAAATTGATTTCCAGCTGTGGGTGTTTATGTTTTGTGTGTCAGTGATTTACTGTGGTATATTGTCTAAGTCATATAGATATAAGGACAAATTTTGTCTGAAGTCCATATACAATTGTAGTCCAAATCTCATCAGTTTGAAGGAAAAAAAATATAGAAAAGTTGAAATGAAATTTGGATAAGTTGTTAGAATTATATCTTATTCTTTCATGCAGAATTGCACCAATATTTGCAGATCTTGTGTGTACTTATGTCATTGCCAATCATAGGATTTCTGTTATATAGAATCTAACACAAAATTTGTGATTATAATGTAGTTATAATTGTATTCTTCAACAATGCTTACAATTTTTTTTATTATATTGTGTTTTTTTTAACTATGTTGCTACCAAGTGAAATTATTTTATTTTATTAGTGGTAACCAAAATATCGGACAAATTATTTGTGAAACCTGTCATAACTTAAATAAGAAGACAACCTGTCTATATGGAACAATTCCGTAAAAGTTCTATCATAGACATTTAACCTTAATAAAACAATTTGAGCTAACACTGACGGAATAAATGGATGTGGTGACTATGTTATACTCTGGTTGGGTATATAATTTACCAGGTGAAAGATAAAATATTAAAAAAAAAAAAAAGAATAACAAAGTGACTGATTTTTTAATAGGTGTTTGATGCCCCGTATATGGAGAAGGAAACGTTTGAAAAGCGACAGGAAGCCCTGAGAGAGTATTTTGATGAAAACACGTAAATATGACCTCCTCCATTTAACTTTATTCTGTTTATAACATACTTATCGACGGTAAAACAATTTTGATTCAATTAAGATAAAGGGTACCAGTAAGTCATATAAGCTATATTATAACCAATGTCGCTACTGTAAAACATTTCAGTCCTTTTCAAAGGAAAAATTCTACAAAAAATCAAATGTTGCTATGTTTTTACAGAATTATAGTTTTTCGAACATTGAGTTTTTAACAATAGAAATACAAAAAATACACAAATAAGATGGAAAAAAACCCTGCAGGTGTTGAACTTAGTACCTTTACTTTGCAAAGCCTACAATTTATGATTTACCATTGTTGCTAATCAGGATATATTAACTCATTCACCCCTGAAGACACATTTGAACTCTGCCAATTCAATGGTTGGAATAGTTCATAATGAAATTTCAGGGGTGAGTGATCACAATCACAATACATGTATCAAAATGATTGTCCAATTGATGGGCAGGAAAGCCTATGAAAAAAGCATCAAACCTTGAAAAATATGTTGTAGAATGTATTTAAGGAATACCCAGTTATTTTCAGCTTTTAATTGTATATTTTGTTGCTACAGACCTCAGTACGCTGAGCTTGTGAAACAGACTAAATGTACCAGTAAACAGCAATTGGAGGACGACCTGAAAAAAATCATCGCTCTTGGGGGAGAGGGACTTATGATCAGAGAACCAAAGTCTAAATATGAACGAAAGAGGTCAAAAACACTTCTAAAGTTGAAGAAGTTTTATGATGCCGAGGTAAGTCAAACAAATATTATTGTAACCCAAGCACCTGTTGGGTGCCTTGGTAGCCGTTATCACTAGTGCGCACAGTCATTGTACAACTGTGTGTTAATTTTTATCAAGCATTAGCTTCAGACCAATTGATCGCTCTCCCAAGAATTTCGGTTCGATCCCCAGCGGTGGCGGAAATAAGAGAGTGATGTCTGATAGGGTTAGTTGTTATCCCTCCAATGGCACAGTGGTTTCCTCCCGTGGGTTTTCCTCCACCACGAAAACACCATTTGTTCCCTTAGCGGCTTCGTAATAAAAGCACTTCAGAGCTTATGTTTGTTGTTGACAATTGTACATGACGTTAAATAAAGATTATTATTATTATACCAATGGTTTATAGATGAGTCGTACAGGTAAATATGCTTTGCTCAGTATCAAAATGGTTAAAGTTATTTGCCTGTTAACGGTTGATATAAACATATAAACTCTAATAATTTTACTGACTTTTTTTATGTAGAAGGACTACATGATTGTAAATATAAAATTATTTAAAAAGTGAACTCCTAAAGGTCGCAAATACTATTTTCGTTTGGAAATGAAGACATTGGTTCATTGTTTTTTTTAACTTTAGGCAGTTGTGGTTGGTTACGACCCTGGAAAAGGTCGTTTCACAGGAGCAGTGGGAGCATTACGATGCAAGATGGAGTGTGGCAAGCTTTTCTCTGTGGGGTCCGGGTAAGTACAGCAGTAGATCTAGAGCTGCACTGGTATTCATAACTCCAGTCTCAAACTTTAAACCAAATCCTTATTCAAGCAAAATAGTGTAACAGACATCATTATTTGTCCAATGTCTCCATTAGGAGTCGAACCCAGGACCTTTGATTTACTTAGCTAGATATAGTCTTATGCTCTACCAAAGGAGCCAAGAGAAATTCTTCCTTGCCAAGTGGATAGAAAGTGGTCAGTATTTTGTACCAGGGTGGCATACTCCCATTCCAGGAAAGAACTTAATTGTCCCAAGTTTTCCAGCGGTCATAGCGATTCCTTTGCAAGTATTGTCAAGGTTTTTTGTAATATATCCCCGTGTCCTTACCTGGGCGCCAATGTAACAGAGGTCATTATTTTTTCAATGCCTCCACTAGGAGTCGAACTCAGAACCTCTGATCTAATGCTCTACCAAATTAGCTAAAGAGAAATTCTCCCTAGCCGAGTCAATAGGAAGCTCCCTAGCCGAGTCAATAGGAAGCTCCCTAGCCGAGTCAATAGGAAGCAGGTAGCATTCTGTAACAGGGTGACAATAGCCTTTAATGATCATCATATAATTCCATATTTAGTAGATATTAGCTTGAACAAACCTAAGCTGAGAACCTTTCCTATGTTTAATGTTAACTTTCTGATCCCATCACAAGATTGAATCATAGCGGTGCATGACAAAGGATTTGAGCACATACCTATACATTGTACATGTAACTTGTTAAGAGTCTGAAAACAGCGCTAATTTTACCATTTTATGAGGTGAAAATCTAAAATTATGTTTTATCATTCAACTATTGAAAAAAATACTTGTATATATGGTTATCATGGTAATTAAATTCAATTGAATAAATGAGCAGGGTAAATTTTAAAAAAGGTATAATTTCTGTGTAGAAATTCAGAATTGAAATTGATTTTGTTTGTGTTGACAGATTGACCGACAAGGACCACAGAAGGCCACCCAAGATTGGTTCTATAATAACGTACAAGTTTCAGGAATACACAAACTCAGGCAGCCCACGCTTCCCCACGTTTCTTGGTGTGAGGATAGACGCCACAAAGCCCAAGGATGCAGATGTTCCAGTGACACCAGCTGACAAATGATGTTTTGTTCATATGATAAACAAATTATAAGAACAAATGACCATTTTTATCCGCCAATAAGCCCATGCCTGGTGAAAAGCCCACTCATGACATGACAGTTTAACAAAGATACCAGCAGATACTGTTTTCGTCATTGCATTCCAATAAGCCTGACCACTACTTTTAGCTGGAGTTAATGTGTTAATTGGCCCCCGTGGGCTTATTGCAAGATGAATATTAGAACATGTAATACTATACCTCTACTTCTATATCAGACAATCAAACGTCTGTATAAAACCAACCGGCAGCTTGTTTATAAGATCACTAGTGGAATCGTAATGTCACCAAGTGCTATATTACATCACATTATATTTGACAATTTTCATTTTCTATTGTATACATGTCACTGCAATGTTTAAAATCATCAATCATGACAATGGTTCATTTTTGTAATGTCTAAGGGTACATTGTATACTTAAGTTATTTTTTTATTCTTGAAGTCTTTTTAGAAGCTTATACATACACCCATAGAATGTAGTTAATAGTGATTTTGTTTATATTTTAAAAACATTTTATTACAATTGAAATGTACATATTTAAGAAATTTGTCCTTGAATGATAAAGTGACTTATTTTAATTATTTATTCACTCTTTTTTAACTTTAACACAAAATACTTGTCTTCAAGAAGATGTGTTGACTCTAGCTCTGTTTTTGGAAATTGAGCTACATTTAATTTAATGAAAAAAAATGTCAATGAAAATTCTTTTGCTATACAAATTACAAATTAAACATGTAAAACACTGTTTTTGACACATGCGTTAATTAGGTAATGCAGGTGTCTAGTTTTTGTTAAGCTTGAGCAGTTGTGCAAATTCAAATGTTGATCAGTTTTATATGGTATATAATAAATTATGTAGATCATCCTGTGCAATGCATATATACATTAAATATTAATATTATAGCATCCGAATATTATACACATATATATGTATACATCTGTTAGTAATTTATCATTGTTAGGTTTCATTCATTATTTTAAAAAAATATTTTGATTTTACACAATATTTATTATTTTACAAAATGATGTACAATCTTTTTCTAACGTTCATGCAATTATATGAAGAATGTTGTTTTAATGAAATATCAAACACTCTTTTAACTAAAAACAAATTGTATTGTGTGATGTATTGTAAATGACTCGTTCATAAAAATGAATTTAATTTATTGTATATTTGTCGGAGTCATTGCAGGGAGTGTGATATTTGTTGAGAGTGAACTAAGTTATAATCTACCTTTATGGTATTAGTAAGTATTTTGATATATATTTGTTGTGTGATAATTTAGCTGTGCTATGCTCATTGATATTGTTTCATGTCTTTTTCTCACACAAATTGAAGCAATGATCGCCCATATTTCTGGCGCGAGATTTCCCCGTCTAAATCTGTGGGAAAAGTACATGCTCTACTAGGAACTGCTGTATTCACACTAGGTTGTGTACTAGTGTTTATCTTTGCAATTTGTCCATTAAAGAAAGTTGGTGAGAAAAAGAAATATCACATTGATGATTGTGTAATGGAAACAAAACTTCTAACCCAGAGAGTGAGATTGTAGTATGTTTTCTAGAATAAAAGTGTGTTACATAACTTTTAGTGACTTTGACTCTTTATTTGACTAATACGTACACAGAACCTGCATTTGTAGGGGAACTGGACTGGGTTGTTGGTGACCAGGTAGCTCAATTGATCCATCAAGAGTTTGGGATGGTACCGGGTTCAAATTTTGGTCTGGCTATTCTTCTACATGTAATACAAAACTGGAGAGCTTGCCATGCCTTGTTTCAAGCACTGGGAAAATGCTTGGCGAGGTGATACCCAAACCTGGGCGTAAATACGGGGAGTGGGAGATCTAATGTCCATGCAAAGAGTTCAGTGGATTTCTGTTATACCCAGCAGAATGATAGTTCTGTGTTACCCAGCAGATGGACAGTTCTGTGTTACGCAATAGACTGACAGTTCTGTGTTACCCAGCAGACGGACAGTTCTGTGTTACCCAGCAGATGGACAGTTCTGTGTTACCCAGCAGACAGACAGTTCTGTGTTACCCAACAGACAGATAGTTCTATGTTACCCAGCAGACGGACAGTTCTGTGTTACCCAGCAGACAGACAGTTCTGTGTTACCCAGCAGACAGACAGTTCTATGTTACCCAGCAGACGGACAGTTCTGTGTTACCCAGCAGACGGATTCCACAAGGAATACAAGAGTCTGGCTGTAGTAGTAGAGTTGACCAGTTTCCACACATAAGATACACACCATTGTCATGGTCATCTTTACCTATTCATAACTGCGTTGTAAATAGTTGTATCTATGGGGTCAAATACTTCAGCAAAAGGAGGAAGAAATGTAGTGGAACTACACTAGGTAAATCATCAGAAACCAGGTTATCTCAATTGGTAGAGTGTCCTTCAATTGATTGAGTTCCGAGGGTCCTGGATTAGAATCCTTGTCTGGTCGTTGCCTTTCTCTTTCTCCTGTTACACATTATATAGGCCAAACATAACCACTCGGATGTAACGGTCATTCCAGAAATAACATACAGTGGTGGGGTTAAGAAGTGAACAGGCCATTTTTGAGCCCATCAGCCATCATTAGCCCGAACTCACCAACCATAAAAATTTCGTAGTCTTCTATAAAACCAATTAAGTAATTAAAGAATTCTCAAATTAATGATGCATTGAATCTCCTTACCCCCATTAATCTATATCTGAACAAGCTTGATTAAATAAAATAACAATATTTCTACACCTCCTTGTTCCTTGTGTTGTCGGTAAAATGTCAAAATGACCATAATCAACAGGGTTTTGTTCATTACTACCATTTATTTCACATATAAATTCAATATCAATTGCACATTGAAAAATACAAAACTGATGACTTGGTTAACTTGATCCAATTTACATCATTTTTACTACACAATTTACAAAAGTATATATACACACCATGCATACTACAATCAGGTAAGTACATTTGTGAGTGTATTTCATACCACTATTATCATTTATGTACCGAACAGCTAACAGAAAATCATTATATATTGATGCCTTTGTGTAAAATCCTTTAGATAAATATCGGAGAGCACAAGACATGTCTTGTCTAGTCTTTCTGCTAGACCGGCCATGTGACAGAGGAACACAACATACACATGGAAGTCTTCTGAGGTGTGTAAGAATAGCCAAGAATTTTATGTTATCTTTCGACATTTAGCAAATTCAGAAGTCAAACAGAAATTTGCCGAAACTTTGGAGAGTCAAAACAAAATTTGTCTTGTACAATGTAGATCTTTCCTTCAAAACTTGAGAGTTAAACTCATTTTGGGGAGTCGTACAATACTCTCAATGTTCGATTACACTACTGGCCAGGACAACATATAAGACTCTTATTGCAATTATACTGAAACATCTCTGTAACAAGCCTAAAACATATCTACCAAATATGCTAACATATGATTTTATTTAACTCATTCAAAAGACTTCACACACTTACTGTAGGTTTTCTTTTTAGCATCAACAACCCTTAAAATATAAATACACTTAATGGATTTCATTAGTTTCTACATTTATTATATACAACAGATTTATCATTTATTCCATTTCGTGGTCGTTCTGATCAGAACTATCTTGCAGGGATTAAATTTTGCGAAATATGATCAGGTAAAAATGTTGCACTCGTGAAAGTACTTCAGTATTTGGGTGACAGAATTTATTTTACAAGCGTTTTGTGAAAATAAAGTAATATGCAAGACTAAGTTGTAGTTGTATCTTCATTATTTGGCATTTAAGGGGTAAACAGATTGCTTTTGTATATTTATGGAATCATTAATTGTGGTGTTAATATTTGCTGAGTATTTAATTTTGTGCTATCTTTGGTGACTGTGAATAAAGTGAAATTAAATCCCCCACCAATATCACCAACCATACAGTATTACACAAACAAGTAAACAGCTGATATATCAAACCCTACAAATTTAAATTTCGACTCTTTACATTTTAAACACACAACAATATCAAGACTTTTATAGAACCTCAAATTATCTGATTTCAGTTTCATGAAAAATCAAAATATTTTGCCCTTATCGGTAACTGAAATTCCCTATGGGGAAAGAATTGCTTAAGTTCAGGAAAGATTTGATTTTAGCCTTTCCATCACTGTAGACCATAATGTACTCATCAAGATAAATGCATGGTAGAGTCTATTTCAGTTACATAGGGGTGAAAGGGTTAACCTAAGGAATAATCTAGAAATCTAAACTGGGTTACAGCATGCTTAACAATATTTATCAGCACCATACACTCAATACGACAGGTAAAAACAAAAAGACAGTATTACCCTGCTGGAAATAGATACATATATTTACAATAGTACAATTTTCTTGGTGGAAACAGTCCCTACAATACAGCATCACTTCCTTGCTGGGGCCAGCCCCCTACAAAAAGACATTAAATACTTTTCTGCTTAAAAAATTACAATATTTATTGCTGGATACAGTCTCCCATGAAATAATATTACATGTACTTATTTTATGGAGACAGTCCCCTTCAAAATAACACTACTTCCTTGCTGGCCAACTACAAAATAATATTACTCATTTCTCAAGACAGCCCCCAACAAAACAACATTTCCTATTGTTTGAGACAGTCCACAATACAACTATATTACTTATAACTGGAAATCTAGACTTCACAAAATAACCTTTAAGTTTTGTACCACTGGATCAACAGGAGGAATTTCTCTTTAGCTTCGTCAATTAAATATTGGACTAGTAAAGTGAGTTAAAACTTAACTCACGAAAATTAACTTTCATTACACACTAGGACACATAAACATTAAAAAAATTTACAGAAGAAACCGATTCGTTGAGTGTCAAACAACTCTGATTTTTTTTTGGATTTGTGAATTATTAAATGCCACAGAAACAAACATTATTTGTTTCCGGTAACCCTACCAACCCTCATATTATTTGCCTACCCTTAACAATTTTTGGCAATTTTCAAATAAGCACTGTTAAGTCAAGATTACTCTCGCATATAAACCTATAAAAATAACATTAATTACCTACTTTCCTACCCTAATTTTTTCAAAAATGTAAAAGGAAATGAAGACATTTTTTGTAAGGCCTAAAATGTGTTTTCCTACACTGATCTCGACATAGACTGAATGTATCGGAAATACACTTTACTAATCATGTTTGTTTCTAAATACATTTATTCGGCAATAAACCCAGCGAGTCAACACACTGACTCAAAGTGGGAGAACATACATTGTATAGTGAAATGAAAGAGTATTAAATATCAATTTTATTTAGTTTACAACAATTTCGAAACAAGTTATTACAACTTATATTAATCACTCTTGTTTTGCCCGGATGTTAGGACGCAGGGGTCTTAATGTGGGAGGAAACCCGAGTTCCCAGGGAAAACCCACATGGTCGGGCAGGTGACCCCAACCTTTTCAAGTCCAATGGGGGAATCGAACCCTGGTCGCCTTGGTGAAAGGCAAGTGCGCTATCCACTGTGTCATCCGACCTACCAAGAGTATTTGTTGCAACTTCTTTTTAAATCTGCAATAGATATGGGTGGGCTTAATTTCAGACATGGGCTTTTTGTCGGATAAATTTGCAGAGATGTATATAACTTGTATTGAACTATTTATTTTCCCAAAAATTTCAATAATGCAGTTTCTTAGTTTTGACACACTGTGAGCACCAGTATTTGTTCTATTTTCCTTTCTAGATAAGCATGTAAAATGTTAAACTAAATAAAAATTAATTAAAAATGGTCCCAATAACCAGGAATCAATATATAGTAAAGTAAAGTTGAGGTCACAATGACCTTATTTTAGAATGCGACACACCACCTTCCGATGCTATAGGTACCAAATTATAGGTTTGAAGCCCATTTGTGAAAAAGTGGCTGAGATATGCCCTTGAAACCATAATCAGCGCAGACATGTACATGCACGAACAAAACAAATACTATAAAAAAAAAGGACTTTGTCAAAGCCGGGGTATAAAAATAATACACATATGACTCCAATATCCATTACATGTTACAGAGCAAGGTACACACATCATTCATAGACTAACAGAAGTGATAAAAATCATGCTGAAATTGTAAATCATTCACCTTGAAACCTGTTTGGGCTCAGAGAAGGATTTTGACAATGGAGCGCAGATCCTGATTTTATAATCAACAAAGCTTGTCTAAAATGGGATATCTGGGATCAAATTAACTCATTCATCCTTGAAAACACATTTGAACCCTTCCAATTCAAAGGTTGAAATAGTTCATTATGAAATTTCAAGGGTTAATGAGTTAAAGGATCAACATAAAAAAGGGTCGCTAGGGGTACCCTTATCTTAAAATTTTCATTCAGCATTAATATTGTTACATTTGTGATACAATTCGAAGAAAAAATATGCAGCACAGATAAAATTACCATCAACAATGGTAAACAATGTGATTTTTTATCAGTACTATTTAATCATGAGAACATAACGTAGTTTTCTTTAGCACAGTTACCAAGTCAAACATTCTATTCGGTCAAGACATGATGTTTGTACACTCTACTCTCCATGTTTAACACGGTCCAATGCGACGTAGAAGAGTTTATTCTGACGTATGTCGTGCACTCCGATTGGTCCCACTTCACAGTCGGCACAGATAAGATATTTAATGTTGTCCACTGTGTTCGTGAATCCGAGGTTCTCGAAGGTGAACATGTCCTCCACTAGCCAGAAGTTGTTCAGCGTTTCCCCGTCCTCAGGGGCAGCGTTAGGCTTCTTCTTCATGTGTGGAAGAAACAACTGGAAAAGCAGTAAAACATAATTACTTACAGCTTCATATTAATAATGGTGTGAACAATTGTACAAAACATTAACTATTGTGTGGCTAAAAGCTAAATTCTTAGACCAAAAAAAAGAGATATGTCTGTTTTGGGTTCCATGGGCCAAAAAAACCCAGGGTAGGTAGGGCGTTTTATTATATTCATATTTTTGGGTACCATCATACTACCATGTGGCTATATGGTTATGAACCCAATTTTTTATGTAAAGAATTACATAATCAAGGTTCATCCTGAGACGAATTTCAGATTCACTACAATCTGTGTCAAGTTGGTAAAGTAACAGGAAAGAGAAGGGGGTCGAACACTCAATCTCAAGGTTCCTAGTCGGACCCTCTAAAGCTAAAGAAATTCACTCTTCAGCTCTAAGCTAGACGGCGACCTTAATCCAATGTACAATTAAAACCTGCCACACTACTCCCTCCTTTTTAAATGTGTTCGCCATTGAACACCACAACCCAGGTTCTAACTCCCTGTCACCACAGGGAGGGCCACGGACACCATTTGTGACAGGAAAGAGAATAGTGTGCTTCCACCCGGGATCAAACTGGGTACCCTCAATCTCCAGGTTCCTAGTCGGATGCTCTACCACTGATCAGCTTTAAAGGGAAATTCCCTCTTCAGCTCGAAGCTAGACGGCGACCTTAATCCTATGTACAATTAAAACAGTAATAAGTATCTCTGCTTCATAACTGTTCATGCACTATTAAGTATACAAAGTCAGTCTATATATATATGTGTGTTATTGTCATGTATTGCCTAGTTCTGATGTCGTTTACTTTATTTAGTATTTAAAAGATTTTGTCTGGCAATGCTTTTTGTCGCTTGTTGTCAGTTCCACGTTGAAGACGGTTTTAAGTGTGACTTGTTTCAGACTATGACCCAAGGCCAGGAAGCAAGTACATGTATGTAGGGTGGGGCCCGATCCCTATGCAAATCATGGTAGCACAAGTGTATTCATCTCTTCATGCTAAGCAATTGTATATACATTGTACTGTATGGTTAGGGTACTTGTCCATGTTATAACCTAGGGAGTTGATCCTTTGGGTGAGTCGAGACCCCAGGTTCAGGGGCAATTGTACTATTCTAACAGGAGTGTATTGGTTTGCAGTGTTAACTTTAGAGTCAGGCTCAGCCTGTTGGTATATGTCATATGATAAAGTCAGCACATGTCATGCTATGAACAAACATTAAAGGGTCTTATGTCAAAGACAGGAAATGTCAGAAACTCCTAGACAGGAGTCTTTGACATCATTCACGAGTTTTGTTGTATCCTAATCAGATAATGATTGTCATCGGTCTCACTTAAAAGCGTCTTCAACCGACAACAAGCGTCTTCAAGTGACAACAAGCGTAGCAAGACAAAATCTTCAAAAATACTGAATAAAGTAAGCGACATCAAAAGATATGCTGTTAATATGACTATAATACACCTCTGTACCAAATTTTAATTTGATATTTGATAAAATGACCGAGTTATGATGAATTGAATTTTTACGATCTCGGCGTGGCACATGTTTATATTAGCATGTAAAGTGAAGAAAGCGTCGCCAGATAATATCGTTACAATTACCCACTAAAGTAAGCGGCATCAGAAGATATGTTATTAGTTAAACTTTTATTGATATATATTCCAAATTTCAGCTCGATATTTGAAAAAATGATCGAGTTATGATTAATTTATTATTACGATCGGCGACGTGGCATACGTGTGTGAATAGAACTCGACATATGAAGAAGCTTAAGGGTCGAGTAATACCGTTTCAGTACAAAAATCTCGTCCAATTGTGGCTGTGGGTTAAGTGGTACGTTTTTTTGTTTCAACATCATTAATCGGTCATTTATTCAAATTTCTACCTGAAGTTTGGTATAAAGGGGTATCATAGTTATATGAATAACATATCTTCTGATGTCGCTTACTTAATCGATTAATTTTAGAGATATAGTTTGAAGACGCTTCACAATCTGTCGAATTCTATTCACACACATGTGCCAAGTCGTCGATCATAATAATTAAAAACATCCTTACTCAGTCATTTATTCGAATTTTTACCGGAAGTTTAGTATAAAGTTGTATCATAGTTATATGAATAACATATCTTCTGATGTCGCTTACATTATAGGTTAATATTCGAGATATTGTCTGAAGACGCTTTACGATCTGTAGTGTTCTATTCACACACGTATGTCACGCCGCCGATTGTAATAATAAATTAATCATAACTCGATCATGTTTTCAAATATCGAGCTGAAATTTGGAATATATATCAATAAAAGTCTCATTAATAACATATCTTCTGATGTCGCTTACTTTAGCGGGTAATTGTAACGATATTATCTGGCGACACTTTCTACACTTTTCAAGCTAATACACACATGTGCCACGCCGCGATCGTAAAAATTCAATTCATCATAACTTGGTCATTTTATCAAATATCAAATTAAAATTTGGTGCAGGGGTGTATTATAGTCACATTAACAACATATCTTCCGATGTCGCTTACTTTATTCAGCATTTTTGAAGATTTTGTCTGGCGACGCTTGTTGTCACTTGAAGACGCTTGTTGTCGGTTGAGGACGCTTTTAAGTGAGACACAAAACCATTGATTGATTATTCGATCACCTCTTTTTCCTTTATGCTGGCTTTCTGTTGCAGAAGAATGAGAGACGAACATCTTTGGCAGTATATCTTTGTTTTGTTCTTTCCTTCCTGAACCATGTCGCCGATATCGCTATTGTTAGGAGCCACTACATCTGCGCTTGCACCGCTCATTATGTCGTGTTGGAATAAAGTGTTGATGTTATTTTCACCATCTAGTTCTTCTTAGACGCTTAAACATCTGTTTTACAGAACCACTAAAATCAAACATTCAAGCGACGAAATAATATTTTGTCGACTTCACGCATGCGTACTAAAGTTATCGCCCATTCTCAGTCATGCTCGTGTTTCATTCAGACACATTTGAACATAGCAATGTTAAAACATTTAAATGACACCGATTAGGAAAATTGAGAGGGGGACCTGCAGTAAGAGAATTACCTGTAGCGTAATTGAGGGTACAGAAAGACTGAACAAGTTGAGAATTGAACAGGTATACATTTTCTTAATGCAGTAGACACGATTTTCGTTTGAGATCGATCATATTTCACCATGCGCCACTTCTATGGTAACATATCAAATATCCAATCGCTGGATAGCCAGAGTTTCCTCTGCCTCTGGCCAGATTTAAACATTTTGACAGATAGATGTCTGGTGTGGGGCCAGAGCGCAATATTATATGAAAACGTGGAATTCTCCAACACCGTTTGGTATTGAGGTGGTGACAACAAAAATCTACTATGACACAACATATATCGATAAATGGATTATTTCACAGGTGTTTGAAATTCTGGACTGTCGGTTATTTGCTGTAAAATTAAATTGTCTAGACTGTGAGTGTTAACACTTCTTGCCATTAAAGTGCATTCCCCACTTTGATGCCAATTGTTCCATAGAAAACAAGTCACACGTGCACTGCCTTGACTGGAGTGTGATTTGATCTGAGTGAGTCCTGATCATCTGTCTGTATAACAGACAGTCATCTGCAGAGAGATAGACAGTGAATGACACAGAATATGGCAGGTCGTTCATGAAGCAGAGAAACATGAGGGGGCCAAGTATGGTCCCTTGCGGACCTCCCAACTCAACCCAGGCTGTTGTGTTAAAGAATGCATGGTCACCTTCAAATTCTATGATGCCTTTTTGAGTGAGGAAGGTTTTTATCAACTGATGAATTTCACCTATGATTCCGTAATGTTCCAATTTATGCAAGAGTCTGATATGTAGTGATGGGCTGATGATCATGATCGATTATAATCGAAAATTGATCGGTTTGACCTTTCCGATTCCGATTATTAATTACAAATTCCATTATCTATATAATCGGTTCCTTATTGAAATCAAAGTGTTAATGTTTTCAATGTAAAAAATGAATTGAAAGTCATATATTCTTATGATTTTATTATATGATTGATAATGCTACATAAAAATTGCTTGAAATCCATTCATTATAGAAGCCTAGTGTATAGTTAACAACTCTGTCTATTGATGTTATGGTAGTGTTCTCACTTTATTTGGGTAATTACGTATTCAGTCCCATAAAATTATGAACCGATTATGCAATCGATCATCGATTGGTTTACTACTTCCAATTACAAACTGATTATCGATTATGATTTTAAACCGATTGCCCATCACTACCGATATGGGAGACAGTATCGAAAGATTTACAGAAAGTCCAGTATATATAGTAATGTCAGTTTGGATTATCATGCCAAATTTCTTCATGAGGTCACATGTCGTTTGTGATATGTTGCACAATGATGTGTTCAGTCGCACTATGATGTGTTCAGTCACACTATGATGTGTTCAGTCGCACTATGATGTGTTCAATCGCACTATGATGTGTTCGAGAAGTTTTCAGCACACTGTAGTTAGCGAGTTAGGTCTGTAGTTTGCAGTGTTGTGGTTATTTGCTTTCTTTATGAGTGGTGTGATGTAGGCGCTTCTCCAATCTGATGGTAGGTGACCAGTAGACAGGCTGATCTGGAAGATGTGGGTGATTGATCTGGAGATTAGATAGTAGCTTTACTACACCTTCTATGGTTCTTTTGGGTGGGTATTTGTTACCTTGTAGTTCAGATGTTGTTTCATTAGTGCAGTCTTCAGTTAACACAGATCTAAACTGGGTATTGAGTATTTCTGCCCTCGAGTGACTGTCGTGGTGTCAAGTGCCATCTTTCAGAAGTGGTCCTATGCAAATGTTGTCTGTGTGTCTGGTTTTCATATTTCCCAACAGGTTTCCTTTTACCTGTGTTGAGCGATATTTCTAAAACGGAGTGTCTGAATTGGCCCAGAAAATTTAAACTCTTCTTTTATGGAAATACAAACAGTGCTAGGTCTTTTTACTTATAAATGCCTTTATATTAAATTACATACATTGTATACAAGTATCCTGACCATCAATAAGTTGCTTTCTGTTTCAAGGATTTCCAAAGAAGATGAGTGCTGGAGGTGGATCAAAAAATGTTCCGGGTGTATCCGTGATGTCATTCGTCTCTCAAGAGGAAGTTGACAGTGCCAGGAAAAAGCGACAAGAGGAATGGGATAAGACCAGAACAGAAGACCAACCATTAGGTGAATTTATTATTAAGGCTAAAAAAATCACAAATATGTTTCAGGTAACATGCTTGAAGAAATAGGGTAGGTCGGTAGGCAAATAATTAGGGCCCCACATCAAGTAATCAGCTTGTCTGTCTGCTGTCCGTATTGAGTTATATGACTTTGAACTATAAAATTTTCATTTTTTTTTCACTTTCGGCACAATTTCTTGCATATTTGTGTTTGGGTGTTCACCAAATTTTATGTGTGGCCTCATATCAACGAGACCTTGTATGGGTTCAATATTGAAATTCGTCAATATTTTTAAGAGTTATTGGACTTTGAATGCCAAAAATTTGCAATTTTATGACTGTCTGCACAGTGCACAATCACCTTCATATTCACGAATTTTGTGCATATTTTTTACATTTGACATGGTGACGCACTGTGATGTGTAGATGTTCTATAGCTAGGGATTACAAAACGTTCGTAAGTCATGATCATGGTCAATGCCTCTGAAATCTAAAAAAAGGATTTTTTTTTAAATTTGACATGGTGATACACTTTAATACGTAGATGTGCTATGAGCTTTGTCTGACTTATAAATTAATCTTATAGATACAAATATCTGAAATTCTAGGGTCTGCAAAAAAATATATAGGGTAGGTTGGGATACCCGGGAAACACACATATATATTTTAAGTCAATAAGTGAGATTAAAACACAAATAAATTAAAAAAGGGCCTCAATCAAATCAACTGTCATCAATACCATTTCCCACCGTTACATGTTAGCCTAATTAGATTTATAACACCTTACAGCAGTCAAACACTTCCATTCTTCATCAAAGTTTGAGTCATCACAATTTTTGAAAATGCCTTTCATTCAATTGCATAATGTACATCGCACATCACCAGTCAAACAGTCCTAGTATTACATTTGACCAGTCATCAGTCGTATGGTAGCAAAAATGTGCATATTATGGTTAGTAATTTTAGGAGGAAAACAGTCAAAACTGCTTTATATGACATAGAGAGTCGGGTAACAAATTAAATCAATAAAGATTTTAGTACATTTTTTTATTAGACATGTACATTTGAAATTAAATTGTTACAAAATTTGAAATTAAAGAAAAAAATTTGTAAATGATGTACAAAATTCCTAAAACATTGAACTACTGATGAATTGTGACTGCTATGTTTTTTTCTAACCAACTTCTTATGTTAACTTTGCAGAATGTCCAGAGGAAGTGGTGGACAACAGATCTCTGTATGAGAAACTACAGGAACAGAAGATGAGGCAGCAGGAGGAATATGAGGAAACACACAAACTGAGTAAGTTTTTCTCAGGTAAAACTGAAAAACAAAGACAAAAAGTATACTCCTCGGCCCTAATGCATCTCCCCATCCATATGTGCCAGCTACCACAATTGTATCTGTCTGTATTATTATCAACATATGGCATATTGCAATGTCTGTTGCATTTTGTCATCACTTTTTTTTTAAACAACTTCTTCTTAAGAACCACGAGGCTTAAATTGACAAGTACAGTATGAGGTTATGTTTCCTTGGCAACTGTTCCTAGTCCTGTGTTTGTACACTGAAACTCTAGAAAAGCTGTTTCATGATTTGATATGCTTTTTTGTAGAGAACAGTGTCAAGGGTTTAGATGAAGATGAGGCTGGATTTCTGGAGTATGTGTCAAAGAATCAAATAGACATCATAAAGGCCAGATACAAAGAAGAAAAGGACATCATGAAAGAGATGGAAGTATCCTGTGACTAGTAAAAACATTTATGCCTGAGGATGTTGAAGTTTGAAGGGAATTTTAAATGTTCTGATTGTTTTTCTTCACTAATGGTAACGGTGGTCATTTAGTAAACTGTATAAACTGGGAATTGTTTGCCACAATTTAACTTTCACCTTTTTTTCGCTCTCCCCAATGAGGGCGAATATATATACCATGACAGCAAATTTTAGTACACAACATACAACATATAGAAATTACAAAATTGCATGTGGAGGGCGAAATTAACACATGGTGAACATGGATTATATCAGAAAAGGGTGAATATTTGACTGTTTTGCCGGTGTACAGTATCATATCTACTAGTCCACTACAGGAGGGTGGGGAAACTGACCTGGGACTTCATCCTCAGCGTGGGGTCAGTAAATGTCGGCCAGTTGCCCTGCAGCTTGGTGGTTAAGTGCAGAAACCTAAAGCAAAATCATGATAGAGGACTATTTGCAGTCCCTTTTTATACGCCCGTCGAAGACGGGGACATATTATGTTATCACGTGAGCGAGCGGGCGGGCATGCAAACGATGTCCGCTCGATATCTCAAGTAATTATTAACGGATTAACTTCAAACTTCACAACAAGGTTAATCACCATGAAAGCTCGGACAAGTTTGATAACCGCCATTATCTGACCATATTTTGTGGAGTTATGCCCCTTTACTTGCCGAAACGGTGTCCGCTCGATATATCTCGAGTAATTATTAACGGATTAACTACAATCTTCACAACAAGGTTAATTACCATGAAACCTCGGACAAGTTCGATAACCGCCATTATCCGAGTTATTTTTGGAGTTATGCCCCTTGGTTTCATTAATGCGATGCATGCGTTCCATGATGTTGTATTGCACTCATTGATCTACCAGTTATGTTGAATGATTTCTCTTTTAATATCAATTACTCACAAATACTTCATATATTTCAATCATACAAACAACTGCTTATTCAATGTGTGACGGGCGTATTATATACCGCTCGAGGTAACCTTGTTACATGTATATGCTAACACCGATGCTAGGTTCTGATTTCATTTTGCACATTTTCCTGTTCACTGTTTAACAGATCTGAGAAAGGTGGAGACCAACATGATTGTGATCAATGTAGGATAAAGAAATAAATACTTATAACACTTTGCAAAAAGTAAATCTTGTTATACTGCCAATGTTTATCTTGGCATTATAAAGGGATATCATAATCAATTGAAGGAAAAGGTATCAAGGAATTCTTGAAAAAATGTGACAAAGGGACCTTAAAGTGTTGTGGTTGTAGGCGAGCTGGCATATGAAATAATAGGCATTATATTGAGGTTTTTTTACTGATTATTGCAGTATATTTTATGACTGTATGTTGAAGTTTCCAGGTGAAAATATATTGTTAGTGAAAACCACAAGTAAATCCAGCTATCAGTACAGTGTACTGTGGAACCTCAGTACAGTAGTATATTGAATCTATGTGTTAGCCTTAACCTTGATCAGGAAGCATCCGTTACCAAGGTAACAGATCCAAAAATGTCTGACGACAGAAAAGTTCCATCCAAACCTCCAATTGGTGCAGCACAAAACAAGAAATCTCAGATGACACTTTTAGCCGGCGCTGTCAAACGGAAAGGGTATGTAGATCATCTTCATTAAAAAGTTTTCGTACAAAGTGTTCAAATTGAAAACAACATTATGTGGAGTAGTATCTAAACAGATTAAAGACTTTAATTGCCAAAACTTCCATTATAAGATTCAATGCAATTATATTTATTAAATAACGTAGGACGATCAATTACTATAATAGTAATATATCTATGTTATTGTACTATGTAACACAATATCTCTGGAAACATTGATGGATTTTGAGTACAATAGAACCAAATCTGTCTGAACACATTAGTTGAAGTTTATTAGTCTGGACACTTTGGTAGATTGTGTTTACAGTAGAATGCCATGTATTAGTCTTTGAACGGTAAAGTGTACTTTAACATCATCAACTCATTCACCCCTGAATACACACTTGAACTCTTCCAATTCAAAGGTTGGAATAGTACATCATTAAATTTCAGGGGTGAAAGTGTTAATTGATCTGGACACTTCAATGATTTTAATGGTCAGGTCATGCTTCTCACCTGGCCCAAAGTGGTCAAATTTGTCAAAATAATTAAACATCTTGTTCTTAATACCCAGAAGGCCAAGGGTGATGATATCTGGCAAGTAGCCTGCTGGGATAAAGGGCTACAAAGTGTGGTCAAATGGATGACCTTTACCTGCTTTCAAGGTCACATGGATCAATTGTGTTGAAATATTTTAACATCCTAATAACCAAAAGTCCAAGGGTGATGATATTTGACCAGTTTCATGTTGGAATGATAGGCTACAAACTTTTATCAAAAGAATGACCTTGAGCCACTTTTAAGGTCACATGGGTCCAAAATCTTTAAAATAATTTTATCTTAATAATCAAAAGGCCTAGGGTGTTGATAGTGGAATTGGCTTGTAGTTAATTAAGCTGGTCTTAAAACTGAGTCCACTTTTAAGTTTATTGGTGTGAGGTTAATACCAATAGTTTTAATTTATAGTGTTAATGAACTACAAATTCACTGTCTATATGACCTTAGTTTATCTTATATGTATATGGGTATACCCTATACCGAATAATAGCATTGTTAATATTGTATATAAATGGTCAATTACACATGGTCTGTCATTTGTGATTGTCACCAAAAATAGATTTAGTTCCTTGATATTTATAATTGATTTAATAAAAGTATCAAGAGAGTAGACTTGCTGGTATTCAGAATTACTATGTAAGTAGTGTGAAGACTTTAGTTTGTTCTGTAGGTCAGATGCTGTTGAAGATGGGAAGAAGAGGAAGCTGTCGCCTGATGATGGTAATTTATCATGTTTTTCTATAGTTAATATTAAGCTGTACGCTGTAAGAGTAATGGTAATTAGGTACCAATGCAACACAGTCAAAGTTAAACTGAAAAAACAACATTTTTGCATTTACAGTGTTCTTGAATTCAATTTGAAATATTAATTATGAAGCCACAAGAATAAAATAATTGTGGAAAAGGTGAATGGACAGAGAACTTTTTGTTGGCTGGAAAAATCTTTCGGCAAGTTAGGGCAACATCATCCATGTGTGTTCATCAGACATCTCAGCCAGTAAGGGTAATATCATCTCAGCCAGTAAGAGTTTATTGTGCAGGGTAATATCATCTCAGCCAGTAAGAGTTTATTGTGCAGGGTAATACCATCTCAGCCAGTAAGAGTTTATTGTGCAGGGTAATATCATCTCAGCCAGTAAGAGTTTATTGTGCAGGGTAATATCATCTCAGCCAGTAAGAGTTTATTGTGCAGGGTAATATCATCTCAGCCAGTAAGAGTTTATTGTGCAGGGTAATATCATCTCAGCCAGTAAGAGTTTATTGTGGAGGGTAATATCATCTCATCCAGTAAGAGTTTATTGTGCAGGGTAATATCATCTCAGCCAGTAAGAGTTTTTTTGTGCAGGGTAATATCGTCTCAGCCAGTAAGAGTTTATTGTGCAGGGTAATATCGTCTCAGTCAGTAAGAGTTTATTGTGCATAATAATATCATCACAGCCAGTAAGAGTTTATTGTGCAGGGTAATATCATTACAGCCAATAAGAGTTTAGTGTGCAGGGTAATATCATCTCAGCCTGTAAGAGTTTATTGTGCAGGGTAATATCGTCTCAGCCAGTAAGAGTTTATTGTGCAGGGTAATAGCATCACAGCCAGTAAGAGTTTATTGTGCAGGGTAATATTGTCTCAGCCAGTAAGAGTTTATTGTGCAGGGTAATACCATCTCAGCCAGGAAGAGTTTATTGTGCAGGGTAATATCATCTCAGCCAGTAAGAGTTTATTGTGCATAATAATATCATCTCAGCCTGTAAGAGTTTATTGTGCATAATAATATCATCTCAGCCTGTAAGAGTTTATTGTGCAGGGTAATATCATCTCAGCCAGTAAGAGTTTATTGTGTAGGGTAATATGTCAGGAGGGTATATATTTTACACCTACATAATTAAATAGCGAGTGCAATCTGAGATGTCCAATAAAGACAGCTGCATTTTTATTGCAGGTTAAATTAATGGGTTATAAATAAAAGTCTTTAAAAGATGATGGTTCTTTCAAATGGAATTGATTTTACATCAATATTTTCAGATTGTGAACTATGAAAACTTGTATTGTGTCCCCTGAAAATTGATATGTACATAAAAAGTATGCAGAAAAATGAAGTGGGTATATAATAAAATCCTATGCTTATTTGATGTTGTAATTACCCTTCTGTAATACTGTATACCGGGAAACTTCATCCTGTCAAATAGTCACCCTTTATACGTAAAATGCATGTTTTCCCAGTTGCTGCAGAATTTTCCCAGTATATAGTATATTTAGTGATTCAATACCAAGAGCAGATGCATGTTATTAAACTATAATTGAAGTTGCTCTTTGCTAGGCATAACCAATGCAATTCTGGACTAGCAAAATGTGAAACATTGAATGTGCTCACTTCAATACAGTGTACATTTATAGGCATATTAGCTAGGCCATAATAAACGGTCTTTAAAACATTCCGTGAGACTACCGGTATGATATTTTGCTGCTGTCATTGAACGTGTTGTTTGTGTCACACACTGTAGCTGTTTGACTCCTAAGTCTAACACATGTTGACAGTTTTCATTATTGATTTAGGATCCCTGTACCACTGCCCAAACATATGAATTAGAAATGTTTTTACAGGCATGACCATAGCTTCAATAAGTCATTTCTGTAAAGAAATCCATACACCATATAATAAATGTCCTTTATGTAAAATAGCACTCTAGAACCGCTAGCTTCAGTAGAATGGGGCGTTATATTAATGGCTATTTATAATTTGTATTATTATGCCACACAATACTTTGATGGAAAAATAATAAAGATGAAATAAACAAAAAATAAATAAATAAACGACATAATGTTATGACAATATTAAAGGCAACAGGGCCAGACCAAGATTCAGACCAAGGACCTCCGATCAGAATCTAGTTGCTCGAACTGGCTGAGCTACACCTTACCAATGATAGTCACTGGCATGGTGCTAGCTAGTTCATTTACAACAGTTTTACCCAAAATTAAGTTAAGGAGGCGATAACTGTATGTATGAAACACTACAATGGAATTCTCATGGTTTTTAGCTCAAATGACTGACCACTTGGAGGAAATTGAGGTAAAGGTTTAAAATCCACCCCACTGCATTGGGACAGAACGAAGGGACCAAATGAGGGATGGGTGTTGCTGAGAGAAAAAGCTAATAGTTACTGAATCATATATAATGAAAATATATTCCTGTGGTTGCTTAACTATGCAGGTGAGCTATGCATGCCCTGTGGGCCTCTTGTTTAGCTTGCAGTGGGACAGGGATCCTTCAGCGATGGTTGAATGCAAAATCTATTTTTTCCATAATTAATGTACTCAATGGTACTCTCATTGCAGATGCAGTTGTGGCAGACTCCCGAGTACCCACGTTAAATAGAGCGTGTGACAGAGCAAGGATTATTGGTATTCTACCAGGTGTTGGCGCCTATAATAATGACTCAAGTGACTCATGTTCATCTAGTGATGACTCGGACATCGACCTCAGACTTACAACACAGAAAAAATTTGTGGTGATAGAAAATGAATGATAACATGGTTTATTCAACAATGTATCAACAGACAAATATAAAACTCATACAACATGGAAAGAATCTACTGTGACGCAACAGGAATGGTTTTACTATGTTTTATTATGATAATAAACACATTTATAACTCAGATATTTTTATCTTCACAATTGTATTGAAAACAAGATTTACATTGAATTTTTTTTTTTTTATATGAATATTATGATCAACAGAAAGTGACATTGTGAAATCACCAGGAGATATATTGTTGACCTCGTTAACTGTCTGTATTAAACTTATAGATATTGTCTGGCCTGGATATCTTAACATTTCTTAACACTAGGAATGCTCTTAAGCTAGAAAACAAAACTTTGTCCTGGTCAAGAAGGTGTAGTAAAAAAGTGTTGGAAACTGTTTTTATAAGGCATAAATATGTTTGATAAATCATTCCTGAAAAGCAAATCATTCCTCCTTCCTTGCTGGACTCTTATGAGAAGTAAAAGATGAAATAAACAAAATGTAGTCAACAACAGTGTTCCGAGACAAAACATCTCTTGGACCGAGATTCGAACCCTAGACCTGGGATCATTATACTATCGTTTGACTTGTAACCTGGCCTACAGTGTTCTGGCCCTACAGAAGTTAAGGGGAGGTCACTGGTCACTAAAACCACAGTGAGACGGGGATCATTAAAGGAAACGCATAATAAGGGCAAGAAATCCACATAATCTTACGTCTAACGTATCCCTGCTTTGGCCATCAACAGCAACATTCTGAGAAACAGTGCTAAATGTTAAACCTCCTTGGGCTGATAGTGTTGTTAGACTATATAAACTAGAATCCACACAGCATGTAATGCTTGGAATTCCGTCTTTGCGTATTGCAGAGTTATCTTCTCTTGTGAGCAGGGATTGATTGTTACGTCGTTGGTTTGTGAGAAAATTACGTCGTTTTCTCAAAAATTGATGACGTTGTTCTCATATACAAATGACATAACAATCAATACCTGCTCTCAAGAGAAGATAACTCTGCAATATTCAAAAACGGAATAAGCTGTTCTACAAATTATGGAGGAAAAAATCAAAACTTTTAAAATTCAGGTACCAGGTAAATTTTCAATTCAGATCATTTTACTTAGTTTTTTGAGACTTTTGAAATTAAATGTAAAATAAACAATTGTCATTTAAGTTTTAAAATGTGAATTTTTGAATTTTTAATTTGTTAACTAATTTTCAAACATTGATATAAATTTGGAATTTAACAAGACAGCATCTTGCCTTCTTACAAATGTCTATAACATTTTGCAAAGGTATCAGATGTTATGGCCTGGGCAGTGAATTTGACCTTTTATGAGACCTTGGGCATACCCCCAATAGAGGTACGCACCACACCGTCTTAATACATCCGACATATATCGCTAAAATTCAATTGAGCCATCTTCAGCGAGTCAAATTGAAGTTATGGTCCAGACAAGGAATTTGATGCTTGACCTCAATTTGAAATTTGGGGTTATGTCCTGGTCAAACATTCTGGACAAACTGACCAAGCGTTGACTTCCTTGAGCATAAAAGGTGCAAATTTTCTTTCTTGATTCAGATATTTTGAAAAGTAATTCAAGTAATATGCAGCATTGATTAATTGATCTATTGGTTTTACACCCCCTTCGCTACTGAGTAGTTGCCAAATACTTGAAACAGTTCTCATGCTCAAGCATGGATTTTGTGCTGAGCCAAATTTCAATTTCCCACTATATATTAATAAAAACATCTTATAATGTCAATAATTTGGAAAGACATTGAGGAGATTGAAAGCCAAAACTGTTTTCAATGTTTACATTTGTCTTTTGATTGTTTGTCATGATTTAAGCAAGTTACAAGACATTTGATTTGAGCACAAAAACTATGCTTGAGCATGAGAACAGTTTCATGAATATAGACCCTGATGTGTGGACTATTTTATTTTACATAACATAATAATTCCAACTTTCCACTTTTGATGTATCTAATCTAATTCAATATGGTTTACAAAACCAAACACTGAAAATAGTACGAGAGGTTGGTACTTTGTTGTTTTTGTATACTTCTGTAAAAAAAAATATTTAAAACTCTACAAGGTTGTTTTTAATAATTTATTTGTAACTCCAGAAATCAAGGCAATGTTCATACAACTGTAAAAACTGGATATGCATTGACCTTTTTATTTTGTTAATACATAATACACACTGTACATGTACTGTCAGTCTTGGTTAAAACAGTTGTCCGACACTTGTTCACAAAATCATTTTGAAATCTTGAATCTATTTGTATATTGTATTCATAGCCATTAATTTGTTTTTGCCTCTGTGTTGCCATAGGTTTTCTCCCACCACAAAATATAGTCACGTTTTGCTAACTCTCGTTTGGCGAAGTACTTTGGGTATGCAGCTTTTTCCATGGGATGATAATTGTCCAATACCTTCAAAAAATAAAGAAGTAATACATGTAGATAAATTTAATTCGTCTTTTCTGAGATAAAAAGTTCCCGAAACAAAAGTCACATGATATGAAGGGGTACATGTACTTCTGGTGTGTGAAGTTAAATAAGTACTGGGAATTTTTGTCTTTACAGAGGGCGAATTTATCATTACAGCGAATATTGAAAACAACATAAAATACATATCAAGTAAATGTGAAGGGCAAATTTAATATTGGCTGAATATTGATTTTATCGTCGAAGGTCGAAAATTTCTTGTTAAACAATAACAAGTCAACTTGGCCCAAGTGTATGACTTGTTAATTTGTTTGAAAATGGCAGAAGTTTCACATTCTTCACAAAGGGATATCTACTGACTAGTACTCTTTCGTCAGAAATGTAGCTAGGGACAGCCGCCAGTTTTTGATCCCTATTGTTGTAGCAGTGATCAGATGATCCATATTTACCGGAGGTACACATGGCCCTCTATATATATAGCTACCACCTGATGAGCATATCTAAAACCAGGTCAAATAAATGAGAAAAAGTATTTTCAAAATGACGTCACAAATAAGTTTGAGTCCAACTCTTAATTAACTTTTTTTGTTCCCAGGGTTCGACATTAACACTAATCTTAGGCCTCTAGGCCCTAGACTATATGATCTCCGCAAGGACTAGTGAATCACCTAACCTAACTGGTCCTTTGGACTTACAAAAATAAATGTTAGAACAGTATCATTTCACAGATTATATAAAGTATTATTATTCCTTTTGGAAAACTGCTTCAAATACAGATATATTACATGACAGTTGTCTTCACAATATCATTATGGTAGTAATTTTCAGATGTCCCCTACAGTTAATTACTTGTTTGACTAGATACAGTAACGGAGGATTACTTGTTTGACTAGATTCATTAACGTAGGTTACTTGTTTGACTAGATACAGTAACGGCGGATTACTTGTTTGATTAGATACATTAACGTAAGATTACTTGTTTGACTAGATACATTAACGTAGGATTACTTGTTTGACTAGATACAGTAACCGCGGATTACTTGTTTGACTAGATACATTAACGTAGGGTTACTTGTTTGACTAGAGACAGTAACGGCGGATTACTTGTCTGACTAGGTACATTAACTTAGGATTGCTTGTTTGATTAGATCCCTTAACGTAGGATTACTTGCTTGACTAGATACATTAACCGCGGATTACTTGTTTGACTGGATACAGTAACCGCGGATTACTTGTTTGACTAGATACAGTAACGGCGGATTACTTGTTTGACTAGGTACATTAACGTAGGATTGCTTGTTTGATTAGATACATTAACGTAGGATTACTTGTTTGACTAGATACAGTAACAGCGGATTACTTGTTTGACTAGATACATTAACGTAGGATTACTTGTTTGACTAGATACATTAATGTAGGATTACTTGTTTGACTAGGTACATTAACGTAGGATTGCTTGTTTGATTAGATACATTAACGTAGGATTGCTTGTTTGACTAGATACAGTAACGGAGGATTACTTGTTTGACTAGGTACATTAACGTAGGATTTCTTGTTTGACTAGATGCATTTACGTAGGATTATCAAACAATCTATTCAGCCAGTCCAGAGCACTACCAAACAAAAATACTAACTCTAACCCTGGACACTGGACAAATATTTATTTTACCATTAAAACTAAGCAATATTATGTGAATGTTTCACCAATGTCATATGACATTCTGGGGACCAAACCTGGCTTTGAAGATCATGACATAAGGTATGACATCAGCATAACAGAAAGATAGTGTTCTCTAGACTGCATATTGTCACATAACAGGGCTTATGTTTGTGATACTATAAGCACTTTTTGCTATATACATGTCACCGGAGTTGAAATATGGATTTTTGTTAAAATTTGTTGAAATGAGAAGAGGACTGCTATGGGAGTGAAGTGACTTGGCAATATATATCAAAGTTTGGGGTCGGAGCGAGATTCTAACTTGGGTGATTAGAAAAATTTCCTAAAATAGGATCGTGGGTACTTTCCTTCATGGTTTGAAGCCCTTTAGATCGTTTCGTGGTACAAACTTTCGTGGATATCCTATATCAACAGACAGTGGATACATATATCATTCAAATTAATTCTATTTATTTTCGTGGTTTAATAGCAACCACGAAAACCACGAATGTGTATACACAACGAACATTTCAGGTTATACAGTATTATCACTAAAGCACAATATTCAACATTTTAAAACGCTGCTTACCATATCCGGGGAAACCTCGTATCTCCCATGGGCTATTCCTCCGGGACAATGATCATCTGCAAGCAGAAATAATGCAATGTATTCAACATCCCTAAGGAATTTTGCACACTTTTTTTGCAACTACATTTTTTTGTATAAATAGAGGAACACATCGATAAACAACCATAATGGTATAGATTGGTATAACTCGGTATAAAACTGAACGGCAGTTAACATGCACTGTAACTGTATGTCTACACAATTCAAGGATTCACTGGTGTGCTAACCTATCATACTTGTGTGCTGATGCATCATGGCAGTCGTCGAAAGTATTGTGATACTTTATAAAAGGTTTGTATGGGTTATGGCCCTTCACTTATGCATTAATTTCCTCTTGTTCTATCAAAAAAACCACCACATTATTTCAAAAATAAAAATTGCTTTATTATGCTTTACAATTTAGGAGATAGATCACTTAAAAAATTAAAATTAATTCAGCAGGAAATACAAACACTTAAGATTTGTTTCTTATCAAGGTTTGTTTCAAATCTAGGAAAACTATGGTAACAGTTTGTACACAAGTTGGTGACAAGTATTGTGATACGTTTAATATCTTCACAACCCTTGTGATACACAGCACTGAACTCCAGAAATAGACTATATTCCCTTAAATGAAAGTGTTACTGTGTACAAGATCCTTCAGTCAAAATCTCCTCGTCATTCTGGACTACGGCGATTTAAAGATAAATAAAGACAACACAATGTCATACACCAGGATATAATTCAAATATAAAAAGCTCAAAATGACAGATCAGGAAATCTGAAAAAGTCATAACTTGGATGCTGCTGTATACCAGGAAACTTGTGCTGCGGGTTACTTTTCCCCTTTCTTACCGTTCATACTGATGGTGAATTTATCATTACAGCGAATATTGATACAAAAAATATACATCGTTATTGATTGTACAGGGAAAATCCTGGAATTTGAGAGATGTGGGCCATTTTCAGCAATTTTAAGTCCATATCAAAATTAAGAGGGGCCGGCCATTCTATGTGAAATTAAAAGAAAACTGGAACATGAAGGGGTCAGTTTCAGTTTTGAGGGGTCATGTGGCCCCTTTGCCCCCTCCAGGATTATCCCTGATATGAAGGGCAAAAGTTTGATGAAGCAAAACTTTTCTGGTACACAGTAGTTAAATTTGAGTATATATTTTTATTTTTTTTATTTTAAAAGTTCAATATCATTTTACTTACACTGTTTCCCATTTGGGGACAACCCAGTGTATATAACGTTCAACATGCTCCATCATTTTACTTACACCGTTTCCTTTTGGGGACAACCCAGTGTATATAACGTTCAGCTTGCTCCATCATTTTACTTACACTGTTTCCCATTTGGGGACAACCCAGTGTATATAACGTTCAGCTTGCTCCATCATTTTACTTACACCGTTTCCTTTTGGGGACAACCCAGTGTATATAACGTTCAGCTTGCTCCATCATTTTACTTACACTGTTTCCCATTTGGGGACAACCCAGTGTATATAACGTTCAGCTTGCTCCATCATTTTACTTACACCGTTTCCTTTTGGGGACAACCCAGTGTATATAACGTTCAGCTTGCTCCATCATTTTACTTACACTGTTTCCCATTTGGGGACAACCCAGTGTATATAACGTTCAGCTTGCTCCATCATTTTACTTACACCGTTTCCTTTTGGGGACAACCCAGTGTATATAACGTTCAGCTTGCTCCATCATTTTACTTACACTGTTTCCTTTTGGGGACAACCCAGTATATATAACGTCAAGCATGCTCCATCATTTTACTTACACTGTTTCCTTTTGGGGACAACCCAGTATATATAACGTCAAGCATGCTCCATCATTTTACTTACGCCGTTTCCTTTTGGGGACAACCCAGTGTATATAACGTTCAGCTTGATCCATCGTTTTACTTACACTGTTTCCTTTTGGGGACACCCCAGTGTATATAACGTGCAGCTTGCTCCATCATTTTCCTTACACTGTTTCCTTTAGGGGACAACCCAGTATATATAACGTCAAGCTTGCTCCATCATTTTACTTACACTGTTTCCTTTAGGGGACAACCCAGTATATATAACGTCAAGCATGCTCCATCATTTTACTTACATTGCTTCCTTTTGGGGACAACCCAGTGTATATAACGTTCAGCTTTGCTCCATCATTTTATTTACACTGTTTCCTTTTGGGGACAACCCAGTGTATATAACGTTCAGCTTGCTCCATCATTTTACTTACACTGTTTCCTTTTGGGGACAACCCAGTATATATAACGTCCAGCATGCTCCATCATTATACTTACAATGTTTCCTTTTGGGGACAACCCAGTGTATATAACGTTCAGCATGCTCCATCATTTTTCTTACACTGTTTCCTTTTGGGGACAACCCAGTTTATATAACGTTCAGCTTGCTCCATCATTTTACTTACACTGTTTCCTTTTGGGGACAACCCAGTGTATATAACGTTCAGCTTGCTCCATCATTTTACTTACACTGTTTCCTTTTGGGGACAACCCAGTGTATATAACGCTCAGCTTGCTCCATCATTTTCTCAACTTTCGCCATGTCTCGCTCATCTTTGTGTCTATCAAACATGGCTCTTATGTGCACTGCGCCAGATCTTAAAGTAAGTCTACAACAGAAAAATAACCATGTTGCTGAAACGACCAATATTAATCGGAGAATGTTATTGTAAATTTACCAGTTAGGCCAGCATAACTTCTCCAACAATGTTAGAGATTTAACACAGCAAGATACTTTTGACAGGCGCCGCATAACAGCCTAACCACATCTGTTAAAAAATAGTTGACAAATGACCTGTTATAAGTTATGTTATACGAGTGTAGCGGAACTGGACTGGGTCGATTGTCGGCGACCAGATAGCTCTTTTGGTAGAGCGTCTGTCTAGATTTCGGAGGGTTCCGGGTTTGAACCCTGGTCTGACCGTGCATTTTACCTCTCCTGTTACAATAGTACCTTCAACAAACCAAGCATTTTATGTTTACAGTAGGTAGGGATTTTTTTTATTTAATTTGCAAACCCCTTTTCCACAGTTTAAATTAATCCTTTAAAAGTTTTTTTTTTTTTTAAATTGTTGCATCCTTTGTTATATTTGATAATATAGTCAGAAATAAATATAAATCATGTTTTATGACAGATCAAAAACCATAAACACAAATAATTTAACATACGAGTGACTTAAGTTCAAAAATTCTAAAATCAGTAAAATATAACTGTTTATTTCAATTAAATACTTTGAGCAAGCTTTTTTTGTCCAGGTTAGTTGTATTAAGCAAACATTAATTTTCAGCCTTGGATATTCTGTATTTTAAGTATCAATTTTAGCTCACTAGTCACAGGTGACTGTATACGTTCATGTAAGCTAATACCATACCCACAACCTTTCATCTGCATCGCAACTAAAACTTTTCAGTTTTCGGGGTATGTTTTTAAAAGCCTTTTATCCTCTAAAAGTATGAATCCTACACATTTCCAGTCGCATATATTTATATAAATGCATCCAATTTGGGCCAAAAGGTGATTTAATTTGATAATGGTGTTTAAATAATAAATATTGAACCTCAAATAATGAGTTTTGCTTTAACATTTTACCACACATGGTTTCGTAATTAACTATTTTGCATCAAATCTTACCTAAGTGTAAGATATATAGATAAAATATTGTAACAGAGGCGATTATTTTTTCAATGCCTCCGCTAGGAGTCGAACCCAGGACCTCTGGCTTACTAGTATTGCGCTTTTCAAAATGAGCTGAAGTGAAATTGTCTCAAGCCAAGTTGGTAGGAAGCAGCTAATATTTTACCGAAGTAACAAATAATGAAGAAATCAAACAAAACTCAAGTTAATTCATAATAAAAGTATTTAAGCTAGTGTAACAGGAAAGAGAATAGCGTGCTAGAATTTCTACCGGGGATCAAACCCTCCATCTCCAGGTCCCTATAGTCGAACGCTCAACGACTGAGCTAAAGGGACATTCCCTCTAGCTCGAAGCTAAAAGGCGACCGTAATCCTATGTACAATTTAAATCTGCCACACTTCTCCCCCCTTTTTTAAATGTGTTCGCCCTCGAACACCACAACCCATGGCCAGGTTCTAACTCCTTGTCAACACAGGGAGGGCCACATACACCATTTGTAACAGGAAAGAGAATAGTGTGCTTCCACCGGGGATCGACCCCTCTATCTCCAGGTTCCTAGTCGGACGATCTACGTCTGAGCTAAAGGGAAATTCCCTCTAGCTCGAAGCTAGAAGGTGACCTTTAAATCCTAAGTACAATTAAAACCTGCCACACTAGCAATAACATTTAGATTCTGTTTTCCTGTATTTACAGTCGGTATCTTATAAAATATTTTTTATAAATATTAATTTACATCATTGTGTTATTACTTACTGTATATGATCGCGATCGATACAGTCACAGGGGTTCGTTACATGTGTATGTTTATATATAGCACATGTGTATTTCAGAAATTTGTAATGAACCCCTGTGCTTCAGTTAGGGAGAAAAATAATGTGAATACAGATGGAAAATCAAGCTAACAAATTAGGAAATTGACAATAATACCTATAAATAGACTCCTGGTATGGTTGGCCGATTTTCACACTTATCTGCCTAAGCCAATTTTCAACGAAAAATCTAAAAATCTTAAAATCTATTTTCATACCCCTATGTTTGGGCACAGGAGCCTGCCGTTCCTATTATAATTATTTATCAAAATTATTAATAACAGTAATACAAAAAATACCTATAATATGCATAGTATAGGTATTGTTTTTGTATAACTATTGTTATTAATTTTTGACATAATGTCAGGCTCCTGTGCTGTGTTTGGGCAAGGTCATACTCATCAGTGTCCACTTCGGCACTTGAATAGCGTGTGCATCTTAAGAAAATGTTGTTTGGTTTTAACCAATATGCTAACTTGCCTGCTGCCGCATGTAGTTTCGTGAGCTCTTACGACTTTCTTGAAGAGTGTTTTCACTAGCTGGGCATGACTGAAAGCTTTAGTTTTCATGTACGACATCTTGGCAGATGTGTAGACCCACTTCGAATTCTCTCCCTTGATGCTTTACGACGGTGTCGGGCTAATTTCAACACTCTAAATATTTATCCCCTAGCAAATACCTGGTAGTCTTGAAGTATCCTTTGTTGATAACAACAAAAAACACTAAACATGTTGCAAATCATTTTAAAAAAAATGTTTTCATATACCATATAACCTAAGTTGTTCAACATTTCCCTTAGATTATTTTAATACTTTATGCGGAATTCGTTTCAGTATTTAGAAGGAAGACGTGTGTCCTTTCGTTTATTCGGCTAAATCTTTCCTAAATGATAAGATACTAATTTAGTAATATAAAACGCGATATAGATATATCTATTGCCAACTATTTGACAGCAAACCCTCAAAATATGCATTCTGAGCTCTCTCTATAAGGTTAACCAACTTTCAGCCATAGTTTGTTCAGTGATAACGAAAAACTTTGAAGCTATTTGGACCGTTTCAACCGCCGAAAATGAAGGTGGCCATTTTGACAAATGCAAGGCGGATAGACGACGGAACAACATAGGATATATTATGGATCTTAACGGTAATAATTGGCTGAGATTTTCATGAAAATATAACTGTGTTAACATTTAGTGAACTGACAAATCCAGTGAAACATCTACCAGCAATTTAACATTGTATCATAGAAAAAAGTGTCCGCTATTTCTCCCGTTTTGAGCTTTCCCGCGAGTGTGAATAATAACCACGAAATAGCAAAAAGGACTGTAAGGTAGTGACTAGTGGTGGTGACGAAAATTATCGAAAATTAAGTTTTAGGTGAAGATATAGAGGGAGGAGCAGACAAGGGTCCTCTTATGAGTTAAATAAACCCCATTTCTATGGTATTCATAAAATATATATTATTATTCACATTGAAAAAAGCCAATATTTTCCACCTGTTCTGTAAGGGAAAAGGCCCTATTAAGATAACTTTTACCTCTCAGGCTCTGCCAAAGTTATAAACACGAAGAAGAGTTCCACTTCAGGCAAGGGCAGTTTTAACTTGGAGCATTCTCCCATATAAATGCATAGCAACCAAGTGGACTGTATGACTGAGAGTTACTTCCCATCTCAACCTTTCATTTTGATACTACTGTAATCTACCATTAACAGACAATTTGTGGGGAAGCTTAAGAGTCCCATTAGGAAACTGTCATGCAATGCAAACAAGTGTTTTTCACTAGATGGTACTTTTATGTCAATTTAACTGTATATTAATTGATCATTGGCTGCTGTTTATGCATGGTTTACCAGTGACAGTTTAAGAATAACTTTCCGCCTTTCGTAAAGTCTGTTTTTCTAGTTGTATTTTTGTGTGGTCATTTCCGATAAATTTCATTTAAGGATTGACCTTCATTTCGACATGTTTAATTGGTATTACAGAAGGATAAATGAAAGAAAAACTAGCCTTGAAGTTGATAGTTAAAATTATTCCCTCAACAGCTTGTACATATAGGATTACGGTCGTCTTCTAGCTTCGAGCTAGAGGGAATTTCCCTTTAGCTCAATGGTAGAGCACCCAACTAGGAACCTAGGGGTTGCAGGTTCAATCCCCGGTGAAAGCACACTATTCTCTTTCCTGTTACAAATAGGTGTCCGTGGCCCTTGATCCCTGTGTTGACAAGGAGTTAGAACCTGGGTAATGTGCTGTTCGAGGACGAACACATTTAAAAAGATGGGAGTAGTGTGGCAGATTTTCATGGTACATAGGATTACGGTCGCCTTCTAGCTTCGAGCTAGAGGGAGTTTCCCTTTGGCTCAGTCGGACTAGGAACCTTGAGAACAAGGGTTCGATCCCAAGTGGAATGACAGATCGAGGCACACTATTCTCTTTCCTAGCTGTTACATAAGTATATATATGTGTAGTGAAAAATAATTTTGCAATATGCTGTTAATATTTCTTTAATTAATTGTATAGATTAACTTTAGAATCCCACAGGAAAAACATTGTTAGATTGATTTAATTAATATTGTATGAATTAATTTTAAGATTGCTGTAAAAGACGTCGGGTTGTTGTTGACCTGTCTGAGGGCAGTAAGACAATGTTAAAGGAGGCAGTTCTCCAGCTTGTTACTTACCATCAAGATCCAGACAAAGTCTTCAACGAGGTAGGTAGCTACTGCTGACACTGATTAACGTACGTCTTATGCTGGTATATTGTAATTCAGCCTTTTTGAATGTTTTCTAAAAAAAAAAACAGCAAGAGAATGCCTAAGTGTGAAATCGATGAAACTAGCGGGAAAATATGAACAAAAGAAAACGAAGACCAGGAGTTCCAGAAGGATAAGTGTCTTCAGCTTCATCGTTGACAACGGCGTTGTGAATCTAAGACAAATATCTAGTAATGTCACCTCCTCAAAGTGAAAACTAGGGTATAGCAACAAACAATCAATTTGTTACAGAAGTAATTATAGGCAGCTGGCAGCTAGTTGTGCACATGATCATCATGAAACTTCGTACAATTGAGGGTTAAGTATTGTACAGTTTGTGTATTGAACAAATTCACAGTTCATGGTGCTGAGGTCAAGGTCAGTGTTACTATCTTAAGAAAAGCTTGGTTGCTCAGTGTTACTATTTTAAGAAAAGCTTGGTTGCTCAGTGTTACTATTTTAAGAAAAGCTTGGTTGCTCAGTGTTACTATTTTAAGAAAAGCTTGGTTGCTCAGTGTTACTATTTTAAGAAAAGCTTGGTTGCTCAGTGTTACTATTTTAAGAAAAGCTTGGTTGCTCAGTGTTACTATTTTAAGAAAAGCTTGGTTGCTCTAGCAACGTTGTTTTGCTATCACATGCATCCATAAATATCACAAAAGTGATTCGTATGAGAATGACTTGTTTTACGGTATATACTTCCTGTTTCAGGTATCAGTTTTCAGAAGTTCTTTAAGCAACATTTTTTTCACAACTTATTACATTAAAGAATCAGTAATTTTTCAGTTGATCGTAAAAATATGGTAGTTATAATTGTCTCTTGTTGAAAGCCTGAATATCCCCTTGGTCAGGACCTAAGAAATAATAATAAAATGAATGCATCCTCAAAAAGAGGTTATGCACAGTTTTGTGGATCCCTGGACTATGTCATGACAATGGAAGGGAACATTTGTTTCAGGTAACCAAACTGAGCAACTAAAACAGAGTCATCAGGGTGAAATACAGTAAAGCCCTTTAACTCATTCACCCCTAAAGACACATTTTGAACTCTTCCAATTCAAAGGTTGGAATAGTTCATTATGAAATTTCAGGGGTGAATGAGTTAAATATTACAGATCTAGACAAACCACACCTCACTTCAAAGTCGGCCAATTTTACCATTGCACTGCCTACATCTTAGAATCAAACCTAGTCTACTGGTATACATATTATCCACAAGGTGGCACATACAGAGCCATCAATTTGGTCATAACATATTCCAGGGTTGCAAGGTAGAGTAACCTCTGGAGTTTGGAGGATGTGATGAATGATAATCAACAGCTTCTTTATATGTTTTACATTTGTTTTTATAGACAACAAGCATGCTGCACAGAGAAACTACCCAGGACTCCGGTAAATATCTGCATGTTTTAAGGATCCTCGTACCTCTCCTAAACACTGTTTAAAAGTATTTGGAGCTATTTTTTCTGGCATGACTATAGCTTTTATAAATTAACTTTGAAAGAAAACCCTATCTTGTGGTACGTTTATGAAAAAATAATGAGGATGAAATAAACAAAATGTAATCATCGATAGTGTTCTGAATGTAAAAAGTTAGCGGGCCTATACTGGGATTTGAACCCAGGACCTCAGACTGTTATACTATCACTCTTACAGACTGAGAGCTCTACCTAGCAAGTCAAAGAAAGTGTCTAGGCCCAGCTGTGCTACAGTTTTATCCAGACGGAAGTTAAGAGGAGGTTACTGTATATATACAAAAAACTACAGTGCAATGGGACAGGAATCCTTAAAATAATCTTAGAAAAACTATGTTTTTGCTATGTATGTCATCGTGATAATAATATTTTTAGCTTTGTCGATTGAAACTGGATCTTAATAACATAAATGGTTGGAGGGCCGGGCCATTAAATAGTACAAACACTTTTTCTCATTGGAGCTAAAGATTTCATATTTGTGTGTTTGCTGTTTGACCATGTGCCGCTGAGTAGCAGTAAATACAAACTCTTGAAGTTTGAATCGACTGCTTTATCTGATTGTTATTGTTCAGTTATAATTAGATCTTTAGGAATATATATATATTCTAAAAATTATAACTGGGAATCTGGGAATGCATAAAGTATGGCCTTTATAAATAGGAATGAAGTTCCAAGGTTGTACTCTAAACTCAAGTTGAATTGCATGATAACACACTTGCCAACCTTTGAAATCCCTATGGGGAAGAACCTGCATGTTCAAAATTAAAAACAATGAATGAATGGTCTATGTGTCCCCTAGGTAAAAAATAACACTTTAGAATATCATCTTTTGAGTTGTTCTTTCAGATGAAATCATTAGATCTTACACTATAGGAATAGTTTAGTAAGTTTACTGGCTGTAAAGGGTCAATGTTAGGGTCCTAAGTCTCCCTCCAAAATAGGGAGGGTTGGCAATTATGAATAAGGATATATGTACAAATGTAACAAGCTAAATTTCTATTCATCACTCCAGGCAAGTAATCAGCTTTTGTTATGTCTTATCACTGGTACTGTAAACAAATACATTATAATGTATGCAGAAATTAACTGTCATGAAACCAAAATTCAACTTTTAGTTTGTATATATGCAAAGAGGTTTTACTATAGCTAAGAAATATTCAGGTCTTAATCTAGAGTACATATCATATACACTTGATGATCATTTGTTTCTTCTACAGCGGCGATCCTGTGTTCGTCTCTCCAGGGTCTTGCTCCTTGTTCTTTAACTACTTCAGACTTTCGTGCAACAGAAGCATGTGCCAATAAACTTCTTGATATTGTGAGACGAAGCAGGGCAACAAAAACCCTCTGCAGCACTATGCAGGTAAACGTCATATACAATCTGACTGATACAATCAGTTTTTAACTTTAAAATTAAAACTTTTATGCTTATTGTGAAATTCAGGACTTTTATCTTTAATTTTGGATTTAAAAATTTCCAGCAGTGGTTTTGTAAGAAACTAGGGGACATCCGGGTGAATACGGACAGGCGGAAAAACACTGACAGTTCTTATAGGAATCATACATAATCCGTAACATATGATAAAATAAAACTCTGTTCATGCTAGATGTAGATCGATCTACTGGTACGGATGTTTGTCTTCGTTAACAGACAGTACCCGAAATATCCCAAAGTCTAAAAATAGCAACGGCGTGTCTAATAATATTCGTCGTCATGCATGATATCTGAGCACCTTGCGACATGTCCGGAAACTTGATTTCGGAAAAGATGTACGAAAAATAAGTCAATGATATGTTTTTTTTAACTAGTTCAGAAGGTTCAACAAGTATATATTGTACTAGACGGGGAAAAAACTATATGAATAGTTGCTGACTGCAGATTAGCCTAAAGGAATGTCCATACGATGCATGCCACGCTTGAATCTCTTAAAACATCTTTTATTAAAGGGCACAAATTTTCAGCGTTTGATCATATTTTAACATTCTGGTGTGTTGTGAATCTCCTTGGAATATTTAATTGATTCAATTTCTCTTTATTTTCGTAGGAGGTTAAGTTAATTTTCATTTTAATTCATGAGGAGACCAATGTTTCAGGGTTTGTTTTCTTATATATTTTCGACTTCAAGTTGATGAAGAATTCTGAATTATGATTACACCAATATCTCAACATAATTGATCACAAACCCATATTTACCACTTCACTAACTTTGATTAGACTTTGCATTTTCACCAGTTCTTTGGCGAGCTTCATTTCTTTCCACAGATTTTGCATTTAGCACTGTTTCCATAAAAGCAGTAGAGGGGGTATATATTATCTACATTGTATTTAATACATTTCCTTAGGACAAAAAAAAACCAAAAAATTTACAACACAGAACACTGGGACTCTCTACCTAAAGAAAATGTCTCAACATTAAAAAGCATCACTGGATTTAAATGAAAGTGTTAGTTCAGGAAAGTTATCTGAAAACCAGTTATGCTTTGCAATAGAAAAACTTAAGGAACATTACAAAGCAGGATCTTGATCTGTGAAGCTGTGAGAATATTTTAAACTAAATGTCAAACTGTAATCTGTCCTTTTTCCTCCACAGGATGAGGTTACTGCTGTGGTTATGCTGACAAAACACTTGATGGAGAATCAAAACCTGCAGACACTAAGATTCTACAATCTTCTTTGTAAAGAGGTGTGTTGTATTTTATAAATAAGTGAACCTGTTATATCATCAAATCATCAAATATATTTGCTATTTTGACAAAGGCGGACTTTCACATGTTTATAGTAGTCTGGGTTCTTGGAGTTTTTTAAAAACCTTATTATTAAAGATATATATATAGCAAAAAGAGTGGTTTATAACATTTTATTTCCCCTCAAAACTGAAATTGACTCCTCCATCTTCCTATTTTCTTTTAATTTTACATAGAATAACACCCGCTTAATTTTGATATTAAAATGACCCACTGCTCTCAAATTCCAGGATTATGTTATATTATTTTCTTTAAATAAATTGTACCCAGCTTTTTGGAGAAAATATATAGAAATCATTCATTTCAGTTCATCTGTCTAGCTTCCACATTGTCACACATTGCTTCTGGCCTATAACATCTGTCTAGCTTCCACATTGTCACACATTGCTTCTGGCCTATAACATCTGTCTAGCTTCCACATTGTCACACATTGCTTCTGGCCTATAACATCTGTCTAGCTTCCACATTGTCACACATTGCTTCTGGCCTATAACATCTGTCTAGCTTCCACATTGTCACACATTGCTTCTGGCCTATAACATCTGTCTAGCTTCCACATTGTCACACATTGCTTCTGGCCTATAACATCTGTCTAGCTTCCACATTGTCACACATTGCTTCTGGCCTATAACATCTGTCTAGCTTCCACATTGTCACACATTGCTTCTGGCCTATAACATCTGTCTAGCTTCCACATTGTCACACATTGCTTCTGGCCTATAACATCTGTCTAGCTTCCACATTGTCACACATTGCTTCTGGCCTATAACATCTGTCTAGCTTCCACATTGTCACACATTGCTTCTGGCCTATAACATCTGTCTAGCTTCCACATTGTCACACATTGCTTCTGGCCTATAACATCTGTCTAGCTTCCACATTGTCACACATTGCTTCTGGCCTATAACATCTGTCTAGCTTCCACATTGTCACACATTGCTTCTGGCCTATAACATCTGTCTAGCTTCCACATTGTCACACATTGCTTCTGGCCTATAACATCTGTCTAGCTTCCACATTGTCACACTTTGCTCCTGGCCTATAACCTCTCTACGTATTGATGATTTTTTGTCAAACTTGGTATGTGCATGCATAACAGAGATGCTCGGACCAGTTTTGGATATGAGCTGAATGTGTGCACTTGTAGTTGATGTAAGTTAGACCAAATAAAAATATAGGTGTGTTTCCTGTTTTGGCTAAATAAAAATAGGGTAGGTAGGTAGGAAAACCTTTTTATTTATTTATTTATTTATTTATTTTTTTCTAGTGAAGAAAATCTCCTGATTATCTTTGTGAATGTTAAAAATATATTATTGTTTTAATAAAGTATGGATGGCAGGAATGCATTCCTTGTTTTTGTGTTGAGCAGGCCCAAACAACACATTGAAGTAAATTATTATTCGACCTACCTAAATGTTTATGGAATGACCAAGGTAATTTCAAGGTTATTGGAGTTTTCAATTTGTTTAATGTGTGTTATTTTGTGTAGCTATGGTATTCTATTTTTTCTAACATCAAATAATAGTATTAATACCATTGTAATCAGGCCGTTTTGTTTGACGTTTAAGGTACTTGTACATTTGAAGAATAGACTTAATATAATTGAATTAAAGTAATTTGTTCATCAACAAGTGTTTAAATGTATAATATGATAAGGAACTAAGAATTACATGTATACATAATGACATCTCAAATAAAAAAAACTTGAAAAACACCATCTATTTGAAGTAAATCACAAAAACTACTATCAGAGTCAGTGAACCCCAGGCTTAAACATTCTCAGTCAAATAAAAAAAGTAATGAAAATAAAATGGAATACTGGTAATCTATTTTGAATGCCACCTTTTATTATAAGAAATTTTGAAAAGAAAAACCCGGTAAGTATAAATTTTTGTCAGATCTTTAAACATAAATATAGGAATTACTATACAGGAGTCCATATATTTTTTTTTAATTATTTCCAGATTTGTAAATGGAGGAAATAAATATATATTGTGTGTGTGATGTTACATTTTTATACGACCGTCAAATCTGACGGTAGTATTATGGTATGGCGTTGTCCGTCCGGCGTTAACTTTGTTTTTCCGGCAATCTCCTCCTACATTTTTCGACTGATCTCTTTAAAACTTGGTATACTTTATAATCATGATATGAAGTTGTGTCTCCCTTAAAAGAATTTTGATTCTAAGATTTTCGCAAAATTTATTGCCTTTTGTTCATTTCAGTATTTGATTTTTTGTCGGAAGATTTTCTCCTACATTTTTTATAGCATATCAGCTAACCACTCTTAGAATGATGCAGATCTTATTTCAATGTAAGAAAGTATATAACACTATATGGCATTCGACGGGCGTATTTGGTTCCGCCCCACGGTACTCTTGTTATGTAATCCCTACTGCTGCCACTAGTGTTACATTTCTAAATTATCCCTACTGCTGGACATTAGTTTTTAGTTATCCAAACTTCACTGATGGTCACCAGTGTTACATTCTCTTTTGCATTACTGATGCTTTCTGTTCTAAATTTCTGCTGCCACCAGCTCAAATTAAATGAACAACAAAATGAATACATTTATATTTACACTTTATCAACAACAAGTATTTCAATCCGACATAAAATATACAAGTCTTCACCATTGTGAACTCAATCTCTCCACTCCAAACTCATCTCCAACTGTAAAGCTACACAGATCTACAAACTACAGTAAAAATACTATTACATTTGTGTATTACTAACTTCCTTATTCTCACTCGTAACTTTCTAACTCCCCTCTATATCTCTAGACCTCTCAACTCAGTCTCCCTAACTCAAACTCCTTCATCAGGACTCCATAACTAAGTTAACTCAACTCCTAAACCCAACTCTCTTCTCCTCTCTCGTCTCCTCCTTCGACTCCCAAGCTAAACTACCTTTAATACTATCTTTCCCTTAGCAAAATCCTGCTACATCAAAAATGTTGATACATTGAAATTGTTGATGCTGCTGAAATCCTGCTCAAATTTGACCCCTATACGACTAGATTAACCTGGCCATAAATCCTACTAAATTTCACCCCTATACGACTAGATTAACCTGGCCATAAATCCCACTAAATTTGACCCCTATACGACTAGATTAACCTAGCCATAAATCCTACTAAATTTGACCCCTATATGACTAGATTGACCTGGCCATAAATCCTACTAAATTTGACCCCTACACGACTAGATTAACCTGGCCATAAATCCTACTAAATTAGACCCCTATACGACTAGATTAACCTGGCCATAAATCCCACTAAATTTGACCCCTATACGACTAGATTAACCTGGCCATCACTCCGCGTAAATTTGACCCCTATAGGACTAGATCAACCTGGCCATAAATCCTACTAAATTTGACCCCCATACGACTAGATTAACCTGGCCATAAATCCTACTAAATTAGACCCCTATACGACTAGATTAACCTGGCCATAAACCCTACTAAATTTGACCCCTATACGACTAGATTAACTTGGCCATAAATCCTACTAAATTTGACACCTATACGACTAGATTAACCTGGCCATAAATCCTACTAAATTAGACCCCTATACGACTAGATTAACCTGGCCATAAATCCCACTAAATTTGACCCCTATACGACTAGATTAACCTAGCCATAAATCCTACTAAATTTGACCCCTATATGACTAGATAAACCTGGCCATAAATCCTACTAAATTTGACCCCCATACGACTAGATTAACCTGGCCATAAATCCTACTAAATTTTATCCCTATACGACAAGATTAACCTGGCCATAAATCCTACTCAAATTTGACCCCTATACGACTAGATTAACCTGGCCATCACTCCGCGTAAATTTGACCCCTATAGGACTAGATCAACCTGGCCATAAATCCTACTAAATTTGACCCCCATACGACTAGATTAACCTGGCCATAAATCCTACTAAATTAGACCCCTATACGACTAGATTAACCTGGCCATAAACCCTACTAAATTTGACCCCTATACGACTAGATTAACTTGGCCATAAATCCTACTAAATTTGACACCTATACGACTAGATTAACCTGGCCATAAATCCTGGTAAATTTGACCCCTATACTACAAGATTAACCTGGCCATAAATCCTACTAAATTTGACGCCTATTCGTCTAGATTAACCTGGCCATAAATCCTACTAAATTAGACCCCTATACGACTAGATTAACCTGGCCATAAACCCTACTAAATTTGACCCCTATACGACTAGATTAACTTGGCCATAAATCCTACTAAATTTGACACCTATACGACTAGATTAACCTGGCCATAAATCCTGCTAAATTTGATCCCTATACGACTAGATTAACCTGGCCATAAATCTTACTAAATTTGACCCCTATACGACTAGATTAACCTGGCAATAAATCCTACTAAATTTGACCCCTATATGACTAGATAAACCTGGCCATAAATCCTACTAAATTTGACCCCCATACGACTAGATTAACCTGGCCATAAATCCTGGTAAATTTGACCCCCATACGACTAGATTAACCTGGCCATAAATCCTGGTAAATTTGACCCCTTTACGACAAGATTAACCTGGCCATAAATCCTACTAAATTTCACCCCTATACGACTAGATTAACCTGGCCATAAATCTTACTAAATTTGACCCCTATACGACTAGATTAACCTGGCCATAAATCCTGGTAAATTTGACGCTAGGTGATCAGCATCAGTTGGAGGCACAGACACTGACATCACAGACTGGACTCCCCCACAGACTGGACTCCCCCACAGACTGGACTCCCACCCCCACCTAGACTACAGATGGTCACACTCATCTACAGATTCCAACCTATATCATAGCACAATTAGATATGGCTCCTTAGCTACTATCTTCATATACAACTCTGACACTGACCACGACCCAAGTCAAATAAAATGTGCACTTTGAACAATTAAACAGCTTATAAAAGCTTAACAGTGACTGAAAAACCAATAAAATGTATTAGGCTCGGCATGAAAAAATAGGGTCGGTCGGGAAACAAAGCTATATTTTTATTTGGACTATGAGGTCCTTCAATCATGCAGGTTAGTGAAATTCTATCTTACATATGAAAGGAATAGCTCTGTTTCCTACAAACAAAAGTGTGGAAGAAAAAATGTCTCCAAATGCAGAAAGATTACGGTATATAATTAGAATGATATAGTACCTTTTGTTTTCTGTTGTAGAGTTGTCTACCCTTGGAAGTAATCTGGTCACTACATGAAGCTGGTGTGATGAATGTGGAAGCTTATCTATCTTTGTGAGAATTTTTTGATATATTGCCAACACCATGTTGGATGGTTACTAACTAATTAAGTAGCCAATGGTCCAAGCACTAAGTTTGAAGGTTTGCCCAAAAGATCTGTTAAATTAGTTTTTAACCTTTCAGAAAACCTCAGAATTTCAAACATTTGTGCATGAAAAATCCTTAACAACCTCAAAATGCCAAATGAAAATATACAACAATGATCAATAAAATGGATTTCCCAGGAAATGAAGAAAATCCTCAATCTTGAGGTCTAAACAAAGAGTCAAAGGAAAAAATCACTCAATCTCGAGGTCAAAACAAAGGGTCAAAGGTAAAAATCACTAATATTTGGCAAGACTAACTAGGGATCCTGGAAAATTACAAATTTTTGGAGAAAGTTTATAAATAAGGGAAGTGTACATGATAGTTTGTGTCCCGCGCCATACCCAGATCTATACATTACCTTAAATCCATTGCAAGTGTTCAAAGTTCAAATGAGACTTTAAAGATCCTATATTAAATATTTAAAAAATGAAACAAATAGAGAGGAGCCGTTTTAAGTGACCTTACGATCAATATGTCCTCAATATTAACCTTCTCAAGGAAGTTGTCCATTCCAATCCTCGATATCCAGGGGTTTTGCTCACTTTCTCACTCTACACCCCTGGAATATGTCATAGCAAAATTGAAGGCTCAGTGTGCAGCACTTTGTGGATGAGACAAGAGAGAAATAGTTTGGTCCTTTGATGTACATCAAAAGTATATCACAGTCGGGTAACGGTAAAAATTGACAGGCTCTTCAAAGGACAAGTATCAGACTAGTGATTGGTCAGGTTTTTTTTACCCAACACCAATCAAATAGCTAGCAGCGTGCCTTCAATTTTGCTATGACATATTCCAGGGGTGTAGAGAGTGAAAGTGAGCGTAACCCCTGGATATCTAGGATGGTCCATTCCCAAAATGTCATATTGTAAAAGCATAATATTTTGTTGGGGATTTAATTTTGTTTATTTCGTGGTTTTATAAAAATCAATTTTAAAAAAACACGAAATATAATCCCAACGAGAACTTATTAACAGACGAAGTATAAACTAAAAAAAATTAATTAAATAAACTATTAATTTCATTACAAACCCATGGTGTATTTACATTTAGATACAAGCCAAGATTAATAGTGTAACTATCATCACAGACACAGTGGTAACCACTTATAACACAAGTGTGTCAATCAAGCGTTATATTTGTAACACAGTTATTGTTACACAGGTGACATCGGCACCTATAAATATTTACAGGCAGTTCATCCATTACTTATATACAGATGCTATTTAGCGTGAGCTTGTTTAAAAAAGTGAATTTTGAAAACACTTTCTCGATCTTTACTCCTTGTTTCTGCACAGACACCTGTGCCACGAACCACTGAACAAATTTTGGTTTGATCAGAAAAAATACAGGGTTTTAAAATATTGATTCCACGAAATATAATCCCAATGAATTTGTCCTCATTCAAAAACAACGAAGTTAAACCCAATGAAACTATATGCTTTTACAGTAGATGCCAAGTATTCAGTTTTCTAATGGAGTCATCTTTTTGTTAAAATGGGAAAATCTGGTCTTGACATAACCCGGTCAGTTATTGTAACCCTGCTCCATCTCCACATTACTTCTTTTACAAGGAGCTTGCCAAATTATTAACAAAACAAACAAAACTTTGACAGATTGAGTTGCCTCTTGTCACTGTACCAATAATAGACAAAGAAACTTCAGATTAGTTCATGATGTCATTTGAAATACATGTATTGTTTTCCCTCAATAGGACATGACAATGTGTTTTTGGTTCACAGTAAACAGGATGAGAAATCTTTTGTGGAGGTGGTGGTGCAACAGATATTTGACCGACTTGAAGTTAAACAACATGACAAGTTTAGCCTGGGTAAGTGTTCTGGTAAATAAAGTTCCTTTGTTTGTAAAGATGGTAGCTGTACAACCATGTACAACCATGTACCAACCATGTACAACCTACAACCATGTACAACCTATCACCATGTACAACCTACCACCATGTACATCCTACCACCATGTACAACCTACAACCATGTACATCCTACCACCATGTCCAACCTACAACCATGTACAACCTACCGCCATGTACCATGTACAACCATGTACAACCATGGACAACCTACAACCATGTACAACCTATCACCATGTACAACCTACCACCATGTACAACCTACCACCATGTACCATGTACAACCATGTACAACCTACAACCATGAACAAACTACAACCATGTACAACCTACCACCATGTACAACCTACCACCATGTACAACCTACAACCATGTACAACCTACCACCATGTACAACCATGTACAACCATGTACAACCCTCAACCATGTACAACCTACAACCATGTACAACCATGTACAACCTACAACCATGTACTACAACCATGTACAACCTACAACCATGTACAACCTTCAACCATGTACAACCTTCAACCATGTACAACCATGTACAACCATGTACAACCTACAACCATGTACTACAACCATGTACAACCTACAACCATGTACAACCTACAACCATGTACAACCTACAACCATGTACAACCTACAACCATGTACAACCTACAACCATGTACAACCTACCACCATGTACAACCTACCACCATGTACAACCTACCACCATGTACAACCTACCACTATGTACAACAATGTACACCCTACAACCATGTACAACCATGTACAACCTACAACCATGTACCAACCATGTACAACCTACAACCATGTACAACCTACAACCATGTACAACCTACCACCATGTACAACAACCATGTACACCCTACAACCATGTACAACCATGTACAACCATGTACAACCTACAACCATGAACAAACTACAACCATGTACAACCTACCTCCATGTACAACCTACCCCCATGTACAACCTACAGCCATGTACAACCTACCACCATGTACCATGTACAACCATGTACAACCTACAACCATATACAACCTACAACCATGTACAACCTCCAACCATGTACAACCATGTACAACCATGTATAACCTACAACCATGTACTACAACCATGAACAACCTACAACCATGTACAACCTACAACCGTGTACAACCTACAACCATGTACAACCATGTACAACCTACAACCATGTACAACCATGTGCCAACCAATATAAAGAAACCCAAACAAGCTCAACATACTACGAAATCAGATATTTTCGTGGGTCCAAATTTCGTGGTTTCCCCACAAAACACCATTTCATTGGTACATGGATTCTTTGATTACAAGTACCCAATCAAACAGAGAATTGCTTTGTATCAGACTTGTTATTACGTCATGGACCTATGAATTCGTAGATGAAGATTATATATCCTCAAAATCAACAAAGCTAAGAACTCCACAAAAATGAGAGATTTCACAGTATATAAAGTGGAGAGTGATTACAAGTAGTAGTTGATTTCAGCAGTCTCATTTACACACAAGGGGACCTGGTCAGTATTAATATCAGAACCTGCCTGTTTCTATTGCTGGAACTATGTGTAAAAAGGGTGGCTGTATGTAGGTTGACTCTGCATCCAGGAATTGTTGTAGTATCCAGGACTTTGGCATCTTCTCGTAGGACAACTGTTTTCCTTAGTGAAACTGACTACGGAATAGTTCCCCCTAGTGAAACTGACTATTGGATAGTTCCCCCTAGTGAAACTGACTATGGGATAGTTCCCCCTAGTTAAACTGACTATTGGATAGTTCCCCCTAGTACATCATGTAGTACATGTACAAGAGATTGTGAAACTGACTATGGAATAGTTCCCCCTAGTGAAACTGACTGGAATAGTTCCCCCTAGTGAAACTGACTATGGGATAGTTCCCCCTAGTTAAACTGACTATTGGATAGTTCCCCCTAGTGAAACTGACTATGGAATAGTTCCCCCTAGTGAAACTGACTGGAATAGTTCCCCCTAGCGAAACTGACTATGGGATAGTTCCCCCTAGTGAAACTGACTATGGGCTGTAATATAATGTTCAGATAATTTGCTGTTTATTGGTTGTAAGAGAATATTTGGATTTGCCCTCTGTGGGCTATAGTAAGATGAGGTTTGTATTTGCCCTCTATGAGCTATAGTAAGATAAGGTTTGGGTTTGCCCTCTATGGACTATATATAGTAAGATAAGGTTTGGGTTTGCCCTCTATGGACTATATATAGTAAGATAAGGTTTGGGTTTGACCTCTATGGGCTATAGTAAGATAAGGTTTGGATTTGCCCTCTTTGGGCAATAGAAAGATAAGATTTTGATTTGCCCTCTATGGGCAATAGAAAGATAAGGTTTGGATTTGCCCTCTATGGGCTAAAGTAAGATAAGGTTTGGATTAATTGATGTCTATGGGCAATAGAAAGATAAGGTTTGGATTAATTGATGTCTATGGACAATAGAAAGATATGGTTTGGATTTGCCCTCTATGGGCTATAGTAAGATAAGGTTTGGATGTGATTATCAGTCAGCATCCAAAAGATTATCTGATTTCTGACTTTTAAATGAAATTTATTTGAAGAGGGGTATCCATTGGATAAAGCAAAAAGCACATTCAATGTTTATAAAAATGTAAATTTTGTTGACATGTAATACATAATGTTTCATTAATTCAATAAAATTAATTACTTTTTCAGAAAGTCTTATAAATCACATATCCCAGCTTGCCTTCCCAGGAAAAACTGACCCTGAGAAATTGCCACTGAAAAAGGTAAGGGACTTAAGTCTAACTGTGTGTGAATTAAATAATTTTGTTTTATATCTGCTACATGATTTATCATAATTTTAACTTTGATTGATTGATTGGTTCCAGACACCAAAAACTGACCAATCACAATTTTTTTAGACAATGAACCTGTTCTTTGAAAATATCAGAGTTACATTGATATCGAAGGCAGTCAGGTTTGGGTAATTTTTACTGTAATACTGCCTCACAACTCCCTTTTATCTTTAACCAAAGCATTACGCTGAGATTACAAGTACGCAGGATTCAATGACAGTTTCCCAATAAGTTATCTGGTATCATCATCAATGTGGAGTTTAAGGATCTTTGGTTCAGTCTTTAGGAAATCCAGGGGTGCAGTGTTAATATATGACATCGAGAGCGAAACATTTAGATTTCAAAGATATTAAAACAAGTGATGATTTTTCAATGAAATATCTGTGATTTGACATCACAATTTATAGACAATTGAGTGAAGCTATGAGTTGAAGCTGTCGGACACTGTCCCATGGGTTGATATATTTACCACTGTATCATGTCTCAGTTTCAGTTTCTTTATTTCCAAGAACCATCCGACTCATAGCTTAAATATAAAAAAATACATCATGTAGTACATGTACAAGAGATTATGTACAGGAGATGGCCTAATATAAGATTTTATATCTTGTCGCCAGATCCTTTCAATTTATGTGATTGTATTGTATTGTAAATGAATTTAAGTAATAAATATTGTTTAAACCAAGAGATTATGTGTACATATTGAAATTAATAAGTGGAGAGTGAGCTTACAAAGTACAGAAGTAGTTTTCAATATCAAACATTGATTGCTCTGCATTAATCTCGTAGCACAATATAAATGCTTTCCGAGATTTACTTTCTTAGATTATGCAATTATTTTACATTATTATTACTCAATAATTTTGTTAACTTTAAAACACTAGGACTTCTGTGATAGAATCGCTTGATATATTTACATCTCAGGTCTTGGTAGAATCAACATTTTAGGATGAAGTGAAATTCATCTTCTGCATCACCACATGTTCAATTTGCGATACTGTTGCTTACTATATATAGAAAGCATTTACAACAAAATAAAATCACTGACTGTGATGATGATGAGTAGGATTATATTTCATTCTGTTTTGGTTTTCAGTTCGCCAATGTGATATTGGATTCCGTAATATTGAGTAAGTACAAAATTAATAACATTAAGATGTTGTTGTCATGTTAAATGTTAAACTGTTGCAATAAATGTATTAGCCTAAGGTTTACAATATCAACAAATCATTGATAACAATTAACAATAATACAAATGTTCATCTAGTCTTTAGATCTGGAATAATTTTATGACTATTAATGTAAATATTGTTTTATGTAGACTTCATTTAAAATATTAGTTTGCTTTACAATATACCCATATCATATCCGATGCATTATTCTGGCTCATTTAACTACTGTATAAATCTATGCTTCAGACAAGATGGATTTCCAGTATGTTTTAATGACAAAAGTGTTTCATATCATCAAAAATGTTTGAAAAAAATGCATTTTAATCCTTGATTGCACTTTAAAATCATTTAATAGCTAAAATTGTACACTACAAGTTGACATACCTGCCGAGTTCTGAACAATAAAAGGAGTATCATAGCTAGATGGTCAAAATGTTAGTCAAATCTGCTTACTGCAGGTCATTTCAGTGTTTTATAATTTTCAAAGTCTTCAAAGTCATGAGTATGACATTGAAACCATTATTGTTTCCTTTTAAAACACCAATATGTCTTTTCTAATAAGTGTCTTAACTTATTCACCCCTAAAGACACATTTGAACTTTTCCAATTCAAAGGATGGAATAGTTCACTATGAAATTTTAGGCATGAATGAGTTAAATGTTGAAAACTTTAAAAAAAAAAAAGTATTTTTTTTAACATTTTAAATGTTGGGAGAAGCAGTGCAAATGCAGGAGACTGCAAAATACATGTATGCCAAAATCTGTGCTAGTCGTGAAAGTCATTTGCAGGTTGACTTGGGCAAGTGCAGGTGTATTGGCATGGAATTGGTAGAATCCTTTCAATGACCAATGTGTATGTTAATGCATGTACTGGTACGTTCCACTGTGTACATTCACCTTGTCATTTCAGAGCTTGTTGACACTATGACAGCAGACAGTAAGCCTGTGAGACTGCCCGTGGCCTCGGTTCAACAGGGACACAACTCAGACGGCATGAGGAAACAGTATGGTCATGTCATCAACCTCATTCTCACACATCGACCTACCACAGGTACGACTAAGTCGTCTAACCTGTGAAACTGACCCCGTGACCTTTGTGACCTTAACCTTGTAACCTTGACCCTTTGTGACCCAACCCTGTGAAGGTTAATATATAACCTTACAACTCTGACCTATATAATATACAGTTTGGTTTGGTTTGTTTGTGTTTTACGTCCTATTAACAGTTATAGTCATTTAAGGACCTGCCAGGTTTTGGTGGTAGAGGAAAGCCAGAGTTCCCGGAGAAAAACCACCGACCTACGGTCCTGTTACAAGTTTGGCGCCCTGAAAATATACCCATGAAAAGTGGTATGGAGTATCGTGTGTCTTGGGGGGGTCGAAGACTTTGTCAAAGGAGGGAGGAATGCAGCGAAGTAAACAGGGTCAACCGTCTGCGACCAGGTAGCTCAAGTGGAAGAGCGCTCGCCTGGAGTTCAGAAGGTCCTGGGTTTGAATCCCAGTTTGGCTATGCATGTTGCATTTGTTATATACTTATAAAAATGCTGTAAACTTAGGATGGAGGACAGTTGTGGACTATAGTAACAAGATGTGTTTACTATATATATTACAGCCAGATCAGCATTCAGTGTCCAGACAGACCTGACCTACCCCCGATCTCCTCCTCTTCTTGTCACCATGTTCAAACAGGTAAACTATTGTATCTGACAAAATAAAGTACTTTCAATTCTAGGTCATTTATGTTTTATTAATTGAATGAAAAGGGAAGCCATATTCTGGATTAGATCCCTGTCAGGAGAAATACATTTGAGACTGGTACTTGACTACTTGACTTATTCATGAATTAAATCATGCATCTATACATGAAAAGATTTTAGTAGAAAAAAAGATAACTCTTGTTTGTTAAACAGTTAACAAATTTAATTTGCTTATCTACCAATAGAGTGAAATAAAATAATCTTCATTAAAAAACTATTTTGATTTTCCGTTGGTTGTACTGTTTGCAGCTACTATTGGTGTTTGATGTTGAGGAAGTGGTTGAAATCCTTCGACAGATACAGGATCGACCAATCAACTGGCCCCATCTACTCACTCTGGTCTCCACGTTTATTGTGTGTCTACCCACAGCCACGAACTGTCTCTTCGGTAAATAACTGGTTGTCAGTTTCATAATGGGACTTTATTGAACACAAAGCTGTTTTAATTATGTTGACTATGAAACAACATCTAGCTGTCATCTTCATCTAGATATGTTTTAAGTATTAACTTGACTCCGATTTATTCTCACCTCACGTAATACTGTATTTCAACTTATAAGTGTCCTATCCCGTTTAAGTGTCCTCTGTTTATTATCTGTGTTGTTTGCATATTCCTTCCCTTCACCTTAATACACCAATGACATTGATTGTGTTGCTCTTTGTGCATTTTGACATTTAAATTGTGTTGTTTGTATATCATGAAATTTCTAAATTTACAAAACAAATAACACATGTGTTTCAGGTAACATGCCTGAAAATAATATGGTAGGTCATGCATGATCAGTAGGCAAATAATTTTATTTTAATTTTTTTAATTTTAGGTTTTTTTTCATGGATCACTATAATTATGCTTTTATAACAAATTTTACAATGCATTTCCACACATTACAATGGCTATGAATTTATTAAGAATAAGAATATGGTCAGACTCCCAGAACAGGAAGAAGGTACATTTTACTGAGTGGTTGTGAACTTTGACGGCTAATCAAGGACTTAGGGCGTTATTGGTCATTTTTGGCCTCATAAATAGTAACAAATTCAACTTGAGTTTATTTACCAATTTCTGTTATAAAAGTCATTATATTAATAAATTGGGGCTATCTTTTTGGTGCGAATTTTTTCAAAGTGTGAAGTTAATTTCCTTCAAAATGGTCAATTTTCAACAAAATAGCACACCCCAGACGATATTCACGCATTTTATTATGAAAATGCGGGTTTATGTCTCTCTTTGTAATGCCATATCTCCTAAACTAGTTGTCGAATGAATTTCATATTTCATATTTCCATACTTTTATCATTTATTCCAGAATATGAATATAACCACTAATTCAAAATCCCAGATGAGGCTAGAAATGACCCTTAATGACCGTGGTCCTTTATCTTAGATCTATACAACGTAGCTATATATATAGTGATACAATTTCTAGGGTAGGTCAGGATACTTGAATTACTTATTTTGTTTTTGGCCTTATGGCGTGGTACTGTTGTTTGTGAATCATTACATTATTGTTGTGCTGTTGTTTAATTATCAGAGTTTGTGTACACCCTGTTGAGGACAGGATTGGAGAGATCTGACATGGACCAGGTGACTGTGGCTTTCCTGCTGGCTCGTCAAGGCTGTTTGGAGGGTACACATGTAGCCATGTCCTACCAGGAATGGTTTCAGGTACACTTCACTGTATTTTCTAAGTGTTACATACAATTTATGCCACAGTAAAATAACATAAAAGATTTTGTTTGTGAACAACGTTACTAGTACTATTGAGAGAGTAATGGGCCTTGATTTCCTTTAATGAAACCTTGTCCAGTTTCCTACTCCTGTATCGTAAAACAGATTTTAAAAACAACTTTGGGCTGAAGTCTATTTCAACCAAAATGTTTTCCATAAAAGAGGCGGAGGCTGTTATTTATTGTTGGGATTGTTGTTCTAATTTTGCTGGGAATAATACAATCAATTTTACAATCAAGTTTGTTTTAACTGTAATCTGGGTGTAACCATTTGTTCCTACAGAGAATGTTTGGTGATGGATCGCGGTCGTTGACCAACACAAGGAAAGCATTCACAGTTCTAATGAGGTTTCTTACTGAGCTAGTTCCCTTTGAATGGACAGCACACCTCAAGGTACTCCTGTAGATAATACTTTTTCCTTAATGGTATTGTACATAGCTGAACTTTTATAGTTGATGAGAGGTGATGATGATGACGACGACAACGGTGATCTGTTACTTATTGAGATTTTGTAGCAGATGGCAAGTGAAAATTGTGAAATTTAAGTGAGATTTATTTTTCATATTTAACATCAGAGCATGACTATTGGATACTCAAATCCTGTGATTTGACATATACTTGGCAGTTGTTCATCCGTTTGTAGTGATTATAACATATTGTCCTTCTCCTTCTTAATACCGACATCTGCTAACCTGCCAGAGTGTCACAAGTTCATGAAGAAAAATTTGTAGGAGAAATTTAGTTCTTGATTTGCACTTAAGGTACATATCCTACGACCCCCATTTGTACCTCCAAAGTGTAGAGAGCTCCTCACAGACTACATCATGTTGGCGAAGACACGATTAGCAGATCTTAAGGTAAGGTAGTTAACACAGATTATAAGACTCTTTTATGTCCAGGAATGTAGGATAGGGAAATTCCACCCGAGGGGTTTTCAAATTTGGTAAACATGAGGCTTTGCCGAGGGTTTTGCCAAATTTGAAAATCCTGAGGATGAAATTCCCTATCCTACACCCTTGGGCATGAAAGAGTATTTTTTACTCTCATTCCAACTACCAGAATAAGCTCAGAAACCATGAAAATGCATTTGGAGTGGCTACTATTTTAAAAAAAAAATATTCTCCAGAATATTCTCCAGAACTTTTTTGACGAAAACAAATTTGTCAGCAGGATTAAGCAATACCCAATATTTGCATACAGAGTTTGTTCAGAAAATATTATCTCATCTTTCTAACGTGTATGGTAAATGTACGTATCGTAAAAGTTTTTAATTTCATCACGTTGCTTTTTCCGCATTGCGACATCAGTGGTTTCCAAATTTGTGACGTCACGTCATTGTTGAGCTATTGTGACGTCACGCCCATGTATAAAGATAGACTCCGCAAGCATGGCTATTTTACATGGCCAGAGTTATATTACATGACTGGATATGAGAGAAAACTATATCTTGTGTCAAACATATTTTGTAAACAGAATTTTAGAAAATCATTACATTATAGTACAATTAGTTGAAGTTATTTTCTGCTGTCTGATTTAATTGATGTCAAGTGACATTTTAGCTTGACTTTCAAACTTGTGTTGTTGGCAATTAAGATATAATTCTATCCATCCCAAGTTCGTGAGATCTTTTTGTAATGATATGTTTAAATTATAGGACCCTATAGACTTAACAGGAGATAGAGAGGATGGTGATAAAAGGAAGGTAAGTTTATTCATGTCCAGAAAGCTTGTTAATTATCATTGAACTTGAAAAAATACATGATTTTCATTATTTAGAAAAAACAAATAAAAAATATGCTTTAATATGTGGTTTTATCCAGAAAATAACTTTGAATCAGTGTTCAATTAAAGGACATAGCTGAAACAGATTTTAGACAGTTTTTATATAACTGTTGATTTAACCTTAGTTTTACAAACATTCCTTATAACTAATTATAAATGGCATTCCTTTACAAAAGATTTTCCATAGGAATTAAGCATTAATACTGAAATTTCAGAAAAAAATTCTCCAACTGAAGATTATTTTTTAAATTCCACTGATAAGCTTCCTATGGGGGAAAAAAATGAATAATTGTGAGACTGGGGACTGGAAGGAGAAAGACTGAATATCCAGTATTTGGATCAAAGGATTTTACATTTTACTGGGTTTTTTTTTGTTTTTTTAACTTTATTTTAATGTATTCCTGTGTATTTATACTGTATTTGTTGTAATTAGCACCTTTATTGTAACAGGAAAGTCCTGTAAGTCATTGACTGGGTCAGGTCAGGATAATTGTGAGGGGAAGAGGGTTTATATCATTTCAATTCCTCGGGAAAAAACGGAAGGGCGATAACTATGACAAATAAGGTACACATATTATATTGTTATGGATATGTAGAAATCTTGATACATTACTCTATTGGCAAAAGTTTTAGTTGATAATCTGTTGTGAAATATTGTTATAAAACAGCTTCAATTGTGATACATCTTTGGTATTTAACAGATATTGGAGCAAACGGAGAGAGATGTACAGCTAGCATTGTCTACCTTTGAAGGAACAAACAAAATTCCATCATCTGTGATGGAGGCCAGGTAAATCGTGGAAAAAAGTTGTTTTCTTAAATACTAATGAAAGATTAGACCTATTCAACCACTAGCAGCTTAGCATACTGACTAATGTCACATATTAACTGTTAAGCTCATAATATTTTCTGAACCGGCCCCTATGAAATAGAGATTAAGTTAGTTGTTGCAAGGGATCATAACTGCTGTAGACTGGGACATTTTTGGTGCAGTTTAGTTATAACTTTTTTTGCCTGCCGTAATGAGGGTTTATCACAAATAACATAATATACATAGTAATTAAATGTGAAGGGCGAAATTAACAATGGGCGAAAAGGTATTATTCTGGCGAAGGTCGAAAGTTTGACAGGGCGAAAAATTATCTGTATACAGTATATACTTAAACCTACACACTAGATAATTACAGAAGTATATCAAACTAAATAGATTTCAGTGAATTTCTTACTCGTAATTTGTTTTTGAAAACCATGTATGCTTAATAAATATCGAACTAGACTGCAAGGTGGTAAGGGGTGGTCAGGTGGTGCAGTAGATAGCACACTTGCCTTTCACCAATGCGGCCGGGGTTCGATTCCCCGATCTGACGTGATAAGGTATGGGGTCACCTTGCCGACCACGTGGGTTTTCTCCGGGTACTCCGGTTTCCTCCCACACATAGACCCCCCACGCACTAAGATCCGGGCCAACAACAGTGATTAACATAAGTTGAAATAACTTGTTTCATAATTGTTGTAAAATAAATAAATTTTATATTTATATTTAAGGTATTTGGAATTTGCTGGTAGAAGTTAATAAATGGATTCCTTGTGTTTCAAATTATTTTAAATTTATCCTGCAGTATCTTCCGAAAGCCCTACTTCATTGGGAGATTTGTACCAGCATTACTCAAACCAAGACCAGTAAGTGAGATGTTGTTATTTTTGAAGTGAACCCGCATCAAAATTGGTTATTAAAAGTTAAGTGTTTTACGCATTTGAGCCTTATCATCATGTAAGTTAGACTCCTTGCCTTCTACCAAATTCTCAATCTCTACACTACATCCATTAACTCACTGTACATTGAACTTAGAATATTTAATGGCTTTTTTAAAATTGATCCAAAAGCAGGATTTGTGACATTTATAAATGTATTGATATTCCAGATTTATAACTGGGTGGATGATAGCTAGGTATCCTGTTTTTTCATACCCCATAACTTTAGTCCTCTAGAAAAATTCTGAAATAACCCAGAGAATAGTTTTATTTTCATTGAAATTTATCATTATGAAACATTTAATTGGAATAGGTAATGTTTTTACAAACAAGTCGGTTTATAACAAAATAGAAATGTAAACAAATGTTATTTCTTTTTCCTGTAATAAACCCATTTACCTACCTTGAGTTAGTCAGAAATTTCATTGACCCACCCTGGGCTTTTTGCAGGATAAATATGGTATATAAAACAGCTACTACCTAATATATAATAAGTGCTGTTTAAAAACAAATGTTTTCGATAACATGAACATTCCTAGGTGACAGAATTACCTGAAATTTTGGTGTTTCTTGTCAGCTTCCTGATGTCCGTGATGGGAGGATGAAGTTCATTGACACGCTCAAACGGTGAGTTGTTTTACATTCTAACTGGTTGCTGAACTGGTCACAACCCGACCAGGTACCGATATAGTTGTCTCCGATTAAGTTTTGTGTGGGGGAAAAGAGAATTGTCCAAAAGTAGTGTCTTTGTCCGAAATATTTCAGGTCACCCGAGAGACGTTGTGCATCAAATACTAGGTTGATCATTGATTTGTTTCCTGTCATGTATTACAGCGTGGAGAAGATTCCCACTAACCTGTACACAGTCTATGTGACAGCCTGTCGTCAGGAAGCTGCCAAGCTCTTACAAGGTGAGCCTTCGTGGGGCGTACGTAACATCTTCAGACTTTCATACTGCTTATTCACATGAGACCTAATAGGTAGATATAAGGTATACCGGGAGATTTTCGCCCAGTCAAACTTTCGCTCTTTGCCAGAATAATTCCTATTCGCCCAGTGTTAATTTCGCCCTCCACATTCAGGCACTATGCATATCATGGGTTGTTTACTAAATTCACAGTAACAATAAATTCACCCTCGTTACTGATGGCAAGAAAGTGAAAATTAAACTACAGCGAACATTTCCCAGTATACAGTAGTTGACCTAAATAACTGAATAGGACACAGGTGTGCAGTAAGTGAGAGGGGGAAGATCTCAAAACCAGAAGAAAAAAACCTTTAAGTTAAAGGTTTATTCAGGATCCAGAGTCAGATAGATGATAAAGTTGAATTAAGAGAACGAATGGGTTGAATCAGACATACACTATGTAGGACTACTATAAATAGAAGGTTTATACAGGTTTCCAAATTGCAAAGATACGCTGCATTATGTACGTCTGAATTGTTTTCCATCCTTTATATCCCAGGTGTTTTCCCAGAGGATGAAGAGGATGATATCACCGACATGACCATGGATCCCCTGGAGCAGCTTGAGCATCGTCTTGGACAACTAATCGACACACTTACTCTCGGCCCTGCTTCTCAATGCTACAATCTTAAAGGTAACGAAAGTGTTATTTAAACTGAACTGAAATGCTATTTAGCTATCTGTAGAATTAGTACAGCTTGTTTATGCTGGAACACACCGTCAATGTTAATAATTTCTCTTGGGCTTTCAGAATATTGGCAGCAATAAGAATTTCAAGGTTCCTGGTCAAATAATGTTAATTTTTAGGTCACCTTGAGCTTTAGCTCGAGTGAACTATTGCTATCCGTCTTCATCCGTCGTCGTCTGTTCACATTTTACATTTTAAACTTAAGCTGAAATACTAGCAAAGGGATTTCATTAATATTTCATGGGAAGGTTACTGACATCTCCCTGACCAAATGTTGTTATTTTTCGGTTTGATCATAAATCCAATATGGCCACCACGGCCCCCATTTTAAAAAACTATTTCAAACTTAAAATCAAGTTCTACTGGGCCGATTGAACTGAAACTTTGTAGGAATGATCGACTCATGGTCCTGACAAAGGGTTGTTATTTTTCCGTTCGATCAGAAATACAATTTGGGTGCCATAGCTGCTTTTTTTGAAAATAACTATTTCAAACTTAAAAACAAGTTCAAATAGGCCGATCTAACTGAAACTCAGTCTAGGAATGATCAGCTCATGGTCCTGAAAAACTTAAGTTAACGTTATACTTAACTATTTTTTACTCAAATTGGTACATATTTCACCAACAGAAATAAATACTGTAGGACTCAGATGACCGTTAAGGCCCATGTACCTCTTGTTTTCCCTGTAAAACCCTGCAGAACATTTCATACTTTATAAGACCATTTTTTTTAAATATGTAGATTGTGATATCACCCTCATGATAATATACTAAAATTTGTAATTTGAATTTGGATAATTTCATTTAAAAGTTCAAGCTAAAATTGTTTTTCTTTAAGTTTTCAATTCTGTGTTAACTATTAGACAGGAAGCTTAAGGTTACCTGCAATTCTGTTTACCTTTTTTGACAGAACATATACAATGTGTGTGCCTCAGTGAAGTGTTTTTCGTCCTTATTTTTTAGGTTTCTGTATTGATAGACAGAACATATACAATATGTGTGCCTAAGTCAAGTGTTTTTCGTCCTTATTATTTAGATTTCTGAATTGATAGCCAGAACATATACAATATGTGTGCCTCAGTCAATTGTTTTTCGTCCTTATTATTTAGGTTTCTGGATTGATAGACAGAACATATACAATATGTGTGCCTCAGTCAAGTGGTTTTCGTCCTTATTATTTAGGTTTCTGTATTGATAGACAGAACATATACAACGTGTGTGCCTCAGTCAAGTGTTTTTCGTCCTTATTATTTAGGTTGCTGTATTGATAGACAGAACATATACAATGTGTGTGCCTCAGTGAAGTGTTTTTCGTCCTTATTGTTTAGGTTTCTGTATTGATAGACAGAACATATACAACGAGTGTGCCTCAGTCAAGTGTTTTTCGTCCTTATTCTTTAGGTTTCTGTATTGATAGACAGAACATATGCAATATGTGTGCCTCAGTCAAGTGTTTTTCATCCTTATTATTTAGGTTTCTGTATTGATAGATAAAACATATACAATGTGTTTGCCTCAGTCAAGTGTTTTTCGTCCTTATTCTTTAGGTTTCTGTATTGATAGACAGAACATATGCAATATGTGTGCCTCAGTCAAGTGTTTTTCGTCCTTATTATTTAGATTTCTGAATTGATAGCCAGAACATATACAATATGTGTGCCTCAGTCAATTGTTTTTCGTCCTTATTATTTAGGTTTCTGTATTGATAGATAAAACATATACAATGTGTGTGTCTCAGTCAAGTGTTTTTCGTCCTTATTATTTAGGTTGCTGTATTGATAGACAGAACATATACAATGTGTGCGCCCCAGTCAAGTGTTTTTCGTCCTTATTTTTTAGGTTTCTGTATTGATAGACAGAACATATACAATGTGTGTGCCTCAGTCAAGTGTTGTTCGTCCTTATTATTTAGGTTTCTGTATTGATAGGCAGAACATATACAATGTGTGTGCCTCAGTCAAGTGTTTTTCGTCCTTCTTATTTAGGTTTCTGTATTGATAGACAGAACATATACAACGTGTGTGCCTCAGTCAAGTGTTTTTCGTCCTTCTTATTTAGGTTTCTGTATTGATAGACAGAACATATGCAATATGTGTGCCTCAGTCAAGTGTTTTTCGTCCTTATTTTTTAGGTTTCTGTATTGATAGACAGAACATATACAATATGTGTGCCTAAGTCAAGTGTTTTTCGTCCTTATTATTTAGCTTGCTGTATTGATAGACAGAACATATGCAATATGTGTGCCTCAGTCAAGTGTTTTTCGTCCTTATTATTTAGGTTTCTGTATTGATAGATAAAACATATACAATGTGTGTGCCTCAGTCAAGTGTTTTTCGTCCTTACTATTTAGGTTTCTGTATTGATAGATAAAACATATACAATGTTTGTGCCTCAGTCAAGTGTTTTTCATCATTATTATTTAGGTTTCTGTATTGATAGATAAAACATATACAATGTGTTTGCCTCAGTCAAGTGTTTTTCGTCCTTATTATTTAGGTTTCTGTATTGATAGACAGAACTTATTCAGAATTTGTTTGTTTGTAAGGGAGACTTCTCTCATCTGATTTTGAACTAACAAATGTTGTAGAGCCAGAACTGATGTCAATCATCAGAGAGAAAATGTCCGTTACTCTGGATGAGGAGAGTAATCAGTCTCCACAGCGGACTGTGGTCACAGTCAACGCCCACTCTCCTCAGCTGTCACTCATACATGTAAAGGTAAAAACGGGTTCTGCCTGATTCTTATGCATTAACTTATTCACCCCTTAACTTTCATAATGAACTATTCCAACCTTTAAATTGGAAGAGTTCAAATGAGTTTTCAGGGGTAAATGTTTCCGCCTGAATCTTATGTGTTAAAATGGTAATATTCTCTTAAAGAAATTGTCACTTATCAATGTTTAGCTCAAATAGCCCTTCAGTTACCTTATGTCATAGCACAGGGTCATCATTTGTCTGTCAGACAAGGGTTTCCTCAAACAACTTTGAACACATGGAATATTACCAAAGACATGAAACATCCTGATAGATAGGTGGAGGAGATTCAAAACTGTACAAATGATGGAGCTTAACCCAAGGGCTGGGGCTGGGTCAAAAGGGGTAATTCAGCTATAGTGGTTTAAGCAACTTCTCCTTTGGAACAATGTGACGGATATAATGATCAACCATATTTGGTTGGGAGCACCCTCAGGTGATGAAAATTAGAAAATATACAAACAGAGGGGCTGTCCTCCTCAGGGGGCTGAAAGGTAATTATCCCTAGATACTGTATTATAGATATTGACCATAATGGATTTTAAGCATTCTTAGGTGATCATGATTTAAAAACTGTTCAATTGGAGAGGCTGACCCCTAGGCAGTTGAGAGACCAGGCCAAAAATGGATAATAATTTCGAGTGATATTTATCCCTACCCAGTATCCCTATACCTACTTGCTGGACATCAAGAGACAAACACAATCATGCTAACAGGATTGTTTCTGGTGTCCAGCCTTGCCCCCTGGGACTTAGTCCCTGCATCAGACACAGTATTCATTTAAACATATTCTCTAAGATGCATCACCACATACTATTGAAACTCTGGAAAAGTTGCTTTCCAATTATTAATTATTCATGTCGAAATAAAGCTAATGGTAACCATTGTAAGGATATAGAATATAGAGTTCCTTTTTTGACAGTAGAAAAGGTTATTGTGAGTTGTTATCCTCAAGACTTCCTCCTACTTGTATGTGTTTGTAGGTAGTGGACCTGTTACTGAATGTGATCTGTAAGGTGACCAGCCACAGTTTACAGACTGACCAGCCGGACCTTACCTGGGCATCAAACCTCGTCAGTGTTATTGGGGAGTTCCCATCTCTACATAAAGCTCTGTATACTCGTGTTTGGAAAATCGTCAATGAAACTGTGAGTCAGAACGTACCGCGCGCCCCTTTTTTCTTTCTTTTTTTTATCTCCTGGGTTATTTTTTTTAACCAAACACTCATTATTAGCTTATTGTCCTTTATAGCCCAATATCAAAATGCCACAGATACAACAGTACACTGCATTGAATTAAACAATAAATTTAACCATAATATTTTATATACTTGTAAAAACTTTTTTGTATACTTACTTAAAACATTTATACTGTATCATAGGGCTGCAATGATATATCGTGCGACGATATAACACAATATTTTAAATACGGTACAAAAATACACAATATTTCTTGGGAGGTCATGATACACCTAGGGTGTTTTCCGGATTTTGTCTTTTCTGAATTTAGTTTGCTCATATCCATTCCCACATGGTAAGTGACAGCTCCAGCTCGGCATGCACGACAAAAGCCGTGCATTGTGTGAAATGTTAAAGTCATGCCCATTTTGGGCCAAGTCTATTTCCTTTTGTAATATTGCCATTAAAAATTTGCAACAAATATTCTACTGTTAATATATATTGTGATATGTATCGTATCACCATGTTAAGGTATCGTTGCAGACCTAATGTATCAAGTACTCATATTACCCGTTATCACAGTTTTGTCTGAATGATCAGTAAGTTCTTGTCCGATTTTTAGGTCACCTGAGACAAAGTCTCAAGTGACCTATTGCGATCGCCTTTTGTCCGTCGTCGTGCGTCCGTAAACAATTTACATTTTCGACTTCTTCTCCAAAACCCCTGAACCAATTTCAATGAAATTTTGCAGGGACCTTCCATGGACAAAGGTCAACAAAAA